CCCATGGACTATTAACCAATTATAAAGGGATTTTCTCAGTCTGCTTTTACTGAAGATCAAAGACAAAGTGCTTACTTTTTTTTTTTTTTTGCTTGCCATATATTTTAATTTAGGACACCAAACATCAAGCAAACACAGAACTCGAGGGGCTGAGCAGTCAGAGTGGAGTCATTAACTCGAACGAATGTGAGCAGAAAGGGTTCTGAGAGTACAACATTTTTAAGAGCTCTGAGTTTAAAATCAGATTTTCCAAACCATTTCTGATATGAAGGGAGTGTAAATGTAAGCTGGCATGGAGAATGTTAGATGTAGATGTAATAGGAAAACTATAATGGTCCAGAAAGTTCCTGACTACTGGTTCGTTTCTCAAGATTTTTTAATTTTACTTGGGAACGAGTCATAATTATACTTGAGATTCTTCTGTTGCCTGAGTAATCTGAGGAGGAAGCTTTTTTGAGGTTTTTTAATTTGCAGACACCTGGACATTTGCAGTGGAGGTGTCCTCCCCTGCAGAGTGAACATATTCCATACAGTTTCCAGACTTTCCCCCCTCTTGAAGGTAGTTCCAGAATCTGGGTGTACATAACCCATGAAAATAACTCAAGAAATTATCTGAATTTTTTTTTTCTGTTCAGTGAATTGCTTGAGTATTAGCTCATTTTAAATTGCCACGTGCTGCAGGTGTGAAGAATCCTTCTGTTATTGCTGTTAAATATGTTTCTTCTGGTTGATTAGTATGGCTTTTTAGCCTTTTCTAAGTAGATCTTTTTTTTTTTAAACTGCTTAAATGTAATCTGGGTGATTGTCCTTTAAATATTGTCTTAGGATCCAGATGTCAAAAATCAGTACAGCTCCAGAGAAACCTGTATTGGTTGCAGTTATCTCTTGGGCAAAACTTTATTCTTTCTCTTGTTTTGGGTTTGTTGGGGTTTTTTTAAAGTTTTCTGGACCAGCCTCTCACCAAATTTGTGTGTAAGGTCTCCCTGGACAGCCAGATCCAAATATTCTGAAATGATGCCAGTTTTCCCACTAAAAATATCCTATTCACTATTTCCTATCAGTGAACTATGCTCCACTGAACATTGGCTTTTATTAAGGCTTTTCATTCCACAAAGTGCATTTGTTCCACTGCAAGTTCAATCCTTGTGACTGATTGGGAATTCTTGATGCCCCATTCGAGATATTCCTCACAAAACCTGCTCTAGAAAAATGTAACTTTTAAAATGGGCCTATTTTTCACTCCTGGGAGGACTCCAGACACCTCTGAGGATTAATTGATTTGGAAGCCCCTATTAATTGATGATCAGGCTGAAATCCTCATCCATTTTGTCAATTCATTGGAAGTCTATGCCATTTATTTACCCTCTTCCTCCCCTCAATAATGATTTCCTGATTGCACTACTTTTGTTTCTGGACATAGAGAAACTCAACATGAGTGAGAAGTTTTCTGGTTCTGAGAGCCACCCTTAATCTGAAGAACAATTTTAGACGAAAACTATCACTTTTTAAAACTAACTTCTCCTGCTAATTTGACTAGGGAAAAAAAATAAGGCCCTGCAAATAGCAAAACCCCCTTCAAATGGGAGAGTAATTACCTTAAATTAAGCCTTATTTCTGGTTATGAAAAAACCCCAACAAAACAACAAACCAACAATCACTCAATTCTAAAAGCATGTTGGGCAGACTGGAAGCATTAGAGTTAAATACTGGCCAGTTTTTAGTGAAAGGGAAAGGAAATAGCCAGGAGGAGGGAAGGAAGAAGAGATTAGAGAAATTGAGAGATGTAAATAGTCTCAGAGGAGCCACCATGTCCCAAGACCTCTCCTAAGGGAAGTTTTTTACACCAAAGAATCTGGTAGCCTGAATGAAGAATGACATAACTTATTTATTTAGCCAGAGCTGAGCTGTTTTCTTAATTGAAATAACCTCATGCCACAAACATTAAATTGCTGGCGAGGCGATAAGAATGTCTGTTTAATTTAGGGGCCTTGATAACCATGGAATAAATACCCTTTTATTCCTTGGTTTGAGAGTTTATTTAAATTGCCTGGAAAGCCAGGAACAAGAAGGCTTAAGGTTAATATTACAAACAGTCTGATGAGGGAGTCTTCAGTAGGGAGATGTGTGACTTTGGATTTATAATTCGGTTAAGGAGTTAGGGCTACTTCCCTTTGAGATGAAAATGATGATATCAACCTTATGGACACCAAGAATGGACCAGTATTTTCACACCCTGGGTGCTGTAGAAATTCAAGGGATGGCCAAAATGGCTGTGAACCAGTCAGCTCCTGGGAGAGGCAGGGTTGGGGTGGATTAAAGGCTTAGACAAAGGTGTTTAAGTACCCAAAATGACTCCAAGCTGTGTAGTGTGGTCGATACCCTGTCTGGAAGGAAAACCATCCAGAGGGACCCGGACTGGCAAGAGGGGGAAGGAAAAATGCAAGGTCCTGCCCCTGGGCCAAGGCAATCCCACACCTGGCAACAGGCTGGGCAGTGAGCAGATTGGGAGCAGTCCCTCAGAGAAGGACTTGGTGATATCAGAGGATGGAAAAACCTTAATCTGACCCAGCAATGTGCACTCCCAGCCCAGAAAATCAATCACATCCTGGGATGCATGAAGAGCAGAGTGACCAGAGGGTCAAAGGAAGGGATTCTCCCCCTCTACTCCACCTCATGAGACCCCAGCAGGATTGTTGTCCCCTGTTCTGGGGGGCTTCTGGGAACAGCCTGGACCTCCTTGAGTGGGTCCAGAGGAGCACCCCAAAAATGATCAGGGGGCTGAAGTGCCTCCCATATCTAAGGACAGGCTGAAAGGGTTGGGGGCTGTTCAGCCTGGAGAAGGGAAGGCTCCAGAATTCCTTAGAGCAGGCTTCCAACACCTAAATGGGGCTGGCAGGAAACATGGGAAAGCCTCTGTGTCAGGGGTTTAGTGCTAGGATGAGGGACAATGGTCTTAAATCAGAAGAGGGCAGGCTTAGGTGAGATTTTAGGAAGGAATTCTTCCCTGGGAGGGTGGTGAGGTCCTGGCACAGGTTGCCCAGAGAAGCTGTGGCTGTCCCATCCCTGGAATTGTTCAATTTAGCCATGTATTGTGATGTGGTAGAGATGAGATGTTTTGAAGATTCTCTTTGTGTCTGTTATACCTTTATTTCAGAATTAGCAGGATGTGTGCTGATGAGTTCTACCTCTGCTCAGGTTTTAGTGATTAGTTTTATTACCCTGTTTGCACAGGAAGGACTTGCCCTCATAAAAGAACAGTGAAAGCTTTTAGGATTGAGAGAAACAGCCAGTTCATGAAACAGCATCAGAAATGGTTAACAAAGGTAGAAGAATCAGCACTGCATCCTTCCCTTTGGTCTGCCATTGTACTCTAACGAGAATAAAATTCATTTTGTATAAAAAAAAAATACAGCAAAGCATCACATTCCTAATCCAGTGAAATGGCAACAAGCCTTGTGCATGAAAATCTGCAGCTTGATGTTAACAGCTCTCCAACATTCAGTGTCAAAACTGTTCCCACAGCTCTGGGGACAGAAGAGAAATGTCAGTGCCTGTGTGTGTATAACTGGGAAAAGCTTTGTGCTGAATTGTCCTTTAATGGCTCCAAGAGCAGCTGCACCGCTTTGTACACCTAAACAACATCAGCTGTGTTGCAAGTTCTGCAACTTGTACTGGCTTTATTTTAAATGCTATTTTAAAAGTGGGCTTTCACTCCTTGCCTGCCAAGAGGGGCTCCAGATTATTCAAATTTCAGGTTAGCTCCGCACAGTATGTTCAATCCAAACTCAAACTACTACATGTAAATATGTTATATGAAAATTTGAGACTTTTGAGCCTGTTTATTATAGAAAAGATCTTCTGTGTGCCCATACACTGCGCTAATTTTGAGTGACACGAGCTAATTATAAGTTGATGTCATATGGCTAAAAAAATACGTGTTTATGCCTTCCATATTTCACAATGCTGGCTCTCTCAACCACACTTGCAGAGCACAACACAATGTATTTTCTTGGCCTAAGCCCTCACAGTATAAAGTCATGTTCTTCATGGTGCAATTTGTAATTAAAAAGTTGACCCTCACGCAAAATCTTTGGGATTTTGTGGATACCAGCAGGCTGTTTCTGCCCCTTGTAGGTTTATTTTTCAGCAAATAATAGTAGAATTGTATTTTTTGCCAGGAAAAAAAAAAACCAAATAAAGTAGGCACGCTGACTATTTTTAGCCTCCTGATTAAAGAAGATTAATCATATATTCTGACTGCACATCTCGTCCACTTTTAACCTGTGGTAAGAAACCAGTGAGAAGTCCCCAAAAATCAGGATGGGGATTGAGAGGAAATGCAGCAGTGAAAGTGCCTCAAGACTCCCCATCCATTGCATGAGCTTTTATAACTTGGAAAGAACCAATCCTTATATTGTTAAGTAAGAAAACTGCAAGATTCTGAACAGCAGATTAACAGCAGGAAACATTTGCACTTTTGGTAGATGAGAACCGAGCAGGAGAACATTTTTTTTTTTTTTTTTTTCAAGGGGATTCCACACATTTATTTTTTTTTAACCTGAAGCAATCAGGTTTCAATCAAGAAATCTTGACTGACAGTTCACAGATTTCTTGTTTTCTTTGGTGGCTTTCTCAGGTTGTGAGCACAGGAATCTGGAAGTGTCACTGGGAGCAGGAGGGAGACTGAAATCAGCAAAGTTTTTCTTCCCTGGGGGGAAGCAGAAATGAGAATATGAAAACAGTTCTGAGCTACTCATCTGCCCAGGAAAACTTGTGCCATGAGAAATATGAACCACTGGAGCAAGAAGTTCCAGGATGGAGTTTCTTTAGAGATGTGTAGGTTATTAGAATTAAAGACCTTGACACTACCACAGAAATTGGAGTTGACACCCTGCCTGCTCTGTAAAATCACTGGAGCTGAAATTTATATTATATTACATTATATTATATTATATTGCAGCTGAAAATCAATGAGTCTTCCTACAATTAATCGTTGTTTCTACTTTATTAACCATGTATTTAAAATTAAAAATAACAGACCAATATTTTTAAAGCAGTGTTACTTCTCATTTTCTACAAGGAAAAAAACATTGCATAAATAACTTCTGGGAAAAAAAAAATAAATATGTTAATTCATTCTCTTAAATGATACCTTGTCTCTCTAGGTTCTGGTCCCACATAAAATAATTGAAAAATCTATCAACATCATAAATTTCCACATGATTTCAGCATATTCTACCAGATGTATACAGGATGTGACAACTCACTAATAGTATTTTTTAATGTAAAAACACAAACATTAGTCTGAGTGTTGAGAAGCTAAGTAAAGGAAAGTTGCTGCCAAACTAAAGACCTACCAAAGCTGCACATACTAAAGACCTTTTTCTAGAGGAATTCATGACTTCAAAATTAGCAAAGGCTCACTTTTCCTGCAGAGCCACCACTGCACTCCCAGAGCTTGGCTTGCACAGTCCCAACGCTACAAAATGTGTGGCCAGATAATCCAAACTCTACAGAACGGAAAAAACGTAAATAGAGGTATCTAAGCTGATACTAAAGTCAAATGTGTTCTAGGAAATCAGGAGTGATCAGCATCTTTTATCTTAAACCATGCATATGGTTAGCTGTTTACAGGACAACCATCAGTGAGGTTATCTGCTTTGAGAGGAGCGTGCATTTCATAAATCTGCTTCCCCCTCGTAGAATTTGTTGAGTTGTTCCTAAACCAAATATGGTTTTAGTTGCCAAATCTCAGTTTTGAATCTGTTGGTCCCACAGTCTTTCAGGTAAAAAGGTATGAAATAGATTTGTCACATTTTTACTTTGTGTTTTAGAGGAAAACTCCTGGTACATGAGGATGCCTGATAGTATGGTAATTTCCCAACAATTTGACTTCAGTCACCATAACTGTTGAAATTCCTTCTCTACCTAACTTCCTACAGCTTATTCAGAGAGTGTTCACTCTCCTGATGCTTCCCTAACTGGATGCTGGTCCTGCATCACGGCACTTGTGTGGGAAAGGGATCTCCATGCTCTTTTCACTTGGAGTGAGTGGAATGGTTTCTAGCAAAGTGTGATTGTCACCATAACAGCTTCCCTTCCCTCTGCCTGCCTACTCGTACAAGCCACACAACCCCTCATGAATCTCCAACCTGCACCTTTCCTTTCAGACTCAATTTAGAGGTTGCTACCTCCAGCTTGGTTTGTCTCGTTTTCCTATCAGACCATAAGTGCTACAATCTGACAGATTTTTATTTTTTTTTTGCCTATGTGAGCATTTGACCCAGCTTAGCAGAAGGAATTGGAACCTACTGCAGTCAGAACGTCACTGCTGTGGCCTCTGAGTGCCTTGTGACGCTTTGCGAAGTACCCAGAGCCGCCAGTCCGCGTCACCCAGAGCCACCTTCCTAATAAGCGTTTTCTAACTCGTGCTGGTTGGATTTGCCGCTCCTGGCTCTGGACAGGTGGGGCTTCTTGTTCTTCTGAGGCCTGGCGTTGTCCTTCCCGAAGTCCTTCAGCTCCGACTGGTTGTGGTAGCGGGTGTAGCGCTTGCACTTGCAGGCGGTGACGGCTCGGAATTTGTAAGTCCGGCTCTCCTCGCCGGGGCAGGACATCTGGACGCGCTGCGTGCGGCTGTGAGCGGGGATGCAGCGATAATCCAGGGAGTTCTGACGCCACCACTTCCCCCTGCCGATGGAGTTGGGGAGGAGGTGAGAGGGGACGCACTGGCCGGAGCAGACGAGCTCCTTGACGGGCTTGAGGCTGCGGCAGGGCCCGTCCGTGATGTAGCGGGTGGTTCTCATCTCCCTGCAGCTGAAGTCAGAGGCATCTGCGAACAAGAAACACGTTAATTACTTTGCCACCTCCGAGAAAGCGTTTTTTTTTTTGTTTTGTTTCCACGGGAGGCATCTGTCTCTAGGTACCAGCTGAATATCTCGGACAGAAGGTTTTCAGGAGAAGGATTTCAAAATGCTCACTTGTGTGGCTTCTGATTATTTGGCCACTCTAGTTATGAGACCCTTGAGCAACACTGCACAAATTCATGAATTAAAATCCTTCTCTTGCCACGGGGTGCATTCCATGCCAGGGTTGTGCAGGGGGGCAGTGGAGCTCCTGAAGTACAGCCATCACTTCATGGGAAAATCTGATATTATTCTCCTGGCTTCATTTACCCATTTACCCACAGGCAACACCTTCCCCCATTGCTCTGGTTTAACTCCACTGACTTCAGATGTTGACTCCAGATTTAAAGCTCTTTTGCAACAAAGAAAGTGTTCCTTAGGTGAATTTTAACTACCATGATCTGTTCCAGGTTAGAGAAATAGCAGGTAACAGCAGCTCTAAGGAATTCCCAATATTCAGACATTAGCTTTTCCAAGTTTACCTCTCTCTGGGATAATTCCACATGTCTCACATAATTTCCTTCAGACAGCTAGGGGCACCTTCTGGCTGATTAGCAACTATACAGTTTCCCTCCCTCCCTTTTTCTCAATGGACAACTCTAGGCAAATGAAACATTAGGAAATACAAGATTTTTTTTAGCCTTAAGGACTTTGACAAACTGTCCAACTGTAGGAATGAAACTTTTTCCCAAAGTGCCTCTTTTTCCAAATGACATGCTTGGCTAACTGACCTGTTTGGAAGACAGAGAATTCGATTTTTAAAAGCATTTGTCCAATAACTTCATCTAGATAAACACATATTAATGTTCTTCTCTTTGTCAAAAGGACAGTTTTAACTCAGGAATGTTACTTGGCCCATTCTCCTCACTGTATACAAGGTGGTTACCTCCTTAGTTCAGCAAAAGAGAAGTCTGACCCTGAGTCATGAGTGGTAGAACAGCATTTGTAGAAACATTTTAATTTCTGCTTTTCCTGTGAAGTGCAGAAACAGGATTTTCGGTGCTCAGATTTATGTTTGTCAAACTACAGCTAGCAAGGTTTTATTTTTTAAAAGTCTGAGGGACTGCCTTGATGAAATTAAACAATCCTTGTCAGCTTTGACAAAAATAGTGACAACTGAACTCCATGTGCCTAATACTCCCAAGTTTCCTAAGCATTCAAGAAAATTATGTCTGTCTGTAAAAAATAATTTATAGATAGGCACAATTAAATATGCAATTAAATATACAGGCATTTGCCTCAGCTATATAGGCTTATTTTCTGTGCACATATGTCCTGTCCTGTAAGAGTGCAGGTTCAACACTCAGTGCAAAATTATTCATGGGCTGATGCAATGTCAGATGTTCCAGAAGGGTCAGGCCACTTTGGACCACAATTTTGATTCCTTGTGTTAAAGATGTTAAGATAAGACCATTGTATATCTTGAATAACTGTCCAGTCTCCTTTACCCTTGATTCCTTGAGTAAATGTCCTTTCCACCTCAAAAAATACACACATATCAGAGGGGCAGATTCCCATGGGTTGATGTCAGAGTAGTAAGAGGCTAAAAAATTAAGGTATTCTGATGGAACAACAAAACCAACCTGCCATGAGCAGGGGATTGGTGGGGCTGACTGTGAGAAGCAGGGTGCTCTCCCACTTAGGAATGCAAGAATCCTCTAAAGTCACACTCCCCAAAGCACTACTTTCTCTTCTAAAACATTGTTAACACTGTGGGTTTAAACACCTTCACTGACTGCTGCAGCAGAAAATCACAATTGCCTTTCAGCTGTCCCCAGAAAAAGAAGGCTGATTCAGATCTGCAATGCACAACAGTTGCTACATGCTTTGCACTGTGTGTCTGGCAGACCAAGCTTGCCCTATTTGCCAGTGCAAAACTGTTTTAAAACTGCCTTTCTCTGCCTGGTGTGAGCTCCTCATCTCCTACCTCTCCTCACAAAGCCTCTCCTCACAAAGCCTGTGTTTGGGGCCTCACTGCTGAAGTTGGATGTTTGGCCAAATGTGGCAATATATCACGAAGCATTTTTGGCTGCTGGAATCTTTTGGAAGGTCTGGTTGTTGGCAAAGAGAGAACAGCACAATTCTCTAATGCAGCTGAACACAACCCCCATGTGCCATTTCTTAGTCACAACCAGGGTGGGTCTTCCTAATTATTAAGAATTTACATCTCCACTGTCAATCCATCAAAGAGAGAACGAAGACTTGTGATATTTCCTCACAATGCTTGGAAGCACAAACCACAGAGAAATGTTAAGTAATATCTACTCCAGGTTTTATGCATTGGAGATTGCAGAGAGCAACTGGGCAATGTTCAACAGACAGACCATGCTGTCATCACAGAACTCCACACTATTCCTTCTAACCTTTATATTCACACTTCTTCAATAGTAGATGTAAACCTTTATCACTTAAAGCACACCTAAAAGTTTCAATAAACAATCATATAAAAAAAGCAGTCTTTTACAAACTGTCTCTGAGGGTCCAAAAACAGTAATAATGATATTTTTCTTACCATTAGGGTCTGGAGCTTGTTGTATGTGTCTTCCTCCGTGTTTCGCCTGATTCATTGTGTTGTTGTCGCTGAAAGTCTGCTCCATCGGTGTTTCTGTGTTTTCAGTGATTTCAGGAATGATTTCTGTAGCATCATTTTTAAACACCTGCCACCCTTCCACGGATCGGAATGCGATTTGTGCCAGGACACAGACAGCGCACACAGCCCAGGAGATCTGCATGGTGGCAGCTCACAGACCAGCTTTGCAGCACCCTGACAGCTTCAGATCCTAGGCAAAGGCACATTATTCCCCTTTTTAAAATCCTTTTTAGAACCAAGCCAGCCAATGGCTATACGAAGTGGGAAGGGCCAGACAACAACTCATTCATCTCAGCTTTTGTCAGTGGGAAATAAAATGGGTGTGTGGGGGTGGGTTGGTGACAATATTCTACAACTTGTATGCAAAAACTTCTCATATTCACTTCATTTTTGTGCCTGGCAACAAATGGTGATTGACAAGACTTGGGTGAATTGAAACCCAGCAAGTCTTTCTGCAGCTTTTTTTTCTAACAATATTATAATTAAAAGCTGCTTCTACCTCCATTCATGTTTGAATTTTTGGCTATTGTTTTTTCCAAAGGTTTTTTAGACTTTTTTGCTTCTGCTCTTGCTGTTCCTCTTCCCCTTGCTCGCTGTACAAAGTAAGTAAATCTAGCAACTGTAGCTCAGTAGTTTTGCTTCCTGCAGGGAAATGATTGGGGTTGGGGTAGCTTTTTTTTTTCCCTCTCCAAAACAAGGAGCTCTACATTTTTTTTCCCAAATATAGTGGACAAAACAGGGAAGAGCTTCATTTCAACATGAGAAGTTGTTTTGTTTAGTTTTTCTTAAAAATAGCTATTTGGAATACAATTTTTTTTTTTAAGGTAAACAGCCAGGATGTTGTACATCATACTTTTTGATGTGCTCTTTCTTACATTTTTAACACTTGGAGAAGAAAAAAAACCACACAAAACAACCAAATGTCTGCATTTGTTTTAAATTCACTGCATACTACTACTCCTGCTGACATTCTATGCAAATGCTGAATATTTGCTTATTTTAAACACAAGACCGTGACCAGACTGATTTCCAGTCCTGGTAACAACTAATAGAAAGAAAAAAATTGATGACCTTATGTCTAGGGCATCTATGCCCCCAAGATGCATTCATGTGTCATGTTTTAAGATCTCATCTCTGGTGGTCTTCCTTGCAAAAATAAGATGATAGTGGTGCCAACTTCATAATTTCCGTGTCTCAAGACCCCATAACACTTTCAAGCTATCTGCAAATGATGTCAGGCTAAATACATTAATCAGAAGGCATCTCAGCTTTTAGTTAGACCAGATACCACATGCAGCTCATCAGAGCTGCTGAAAGCACAGTGTTTGCTTAAAGCAGTAGAGGGACACCCACATGTGTTACTGCCATGTTTGTCACATACTTTCTCATGAAAATGTTTCCTGTCCAAGAGATTAAAAAATGATTCACTCTCTGCCTTTCCCTTACTCCTGGCAGACTCATTACCCAAGGCTTGCAATCCATTCTGACAAATCCCCTGATGGGGCACAGAAAACAGGTGCCACCAAATTTCAGGTGTAGGAGGAATGGAGGAATACAACATACTGTTTTCTCTTTACAAGATTTCTTTTCTCCTCAGCCCATCAGGATATCATTCTTTAATACACACTGTTGTCAAGCAATTTGCCTCTGATGTGCTGATGCACAAGGAAAGCAAAACAAGGAATTAATTCCTTGTTTCCCATGGGCAGCAGGTGTTCAGCAGGGCCCCATCCCAGGTAACTGTTACTTGGGAAGACAAACACCATCACTCCAAACATCCCACCCTGTTTCCTCTTTCTTCCCCCACTTTACATAGTCAGCATGATGTCATATGGTCTGGAATATCCATCTGGTCCCTTGGGGTCACCTGTCCCAGCTGTGTCTGCCCCCCAGTTCTCCCCACACCTTCAGCCCCCTCCCCAGTGTGGCCACAGGAGGGGCAGGAGGGGCTCTGTGTAAGCTCAGCAACAACAAAAACATCTCTGCGTTATCACCACTGTGTTTTTAGCACAAACCCAAAACCCCAGAGCCCCACAGCAGCTACCAGGGATAAAAAAAATTAACTGTGCCCCAGCCAAAGCCAGCACACTGTGCTGAGAAGGAATCAGACACATTAGGGGAGCAGGTACCAGGGGTAAATTGGCATCACGGTGTTCAATTTAAGCTCATCTGTGGTCAGCAGCTCATAATTTCCACACTGCCCAGGAATTCAGTTTTTAACATAATAAAGAACTTATTTGCTTCTCAAACAGTTGTGTTTTTTTCCTAAGATGCTGCTAAAGCCACTTTCATGTGCCTCTTAAGAATTTTGCTGTGTCACATTCTACAGTGTGAATGCTGTTGTGTGATCTCCTGCAAGTAGCCAAGAATAAATGGGCTCTTAGTATTGTCCCACCAGAGTCTGATAAATCACCCTGGTGCCTTGCCTTTTCCAGTGATAAGAACACACTGGATTCATCCAGCAGTATCCAGGGACTCAGTGATGACTGTCTAGGCAAGAATAATAAGCCTATAGCTCCATCTGGTGAGTCAGCCAGCCAGCAACATTGGCAGACTGGAATTAAGACTAAAAAAACCTAACTAACAATTATTTCCAGGATTTATTTGCGGAAGAAATTAATAGGACACTAATTCTCACCAGGAAATCCTTAGACAACACCTCTCAGGCTTGTTCTGTCTGTAGTTTTACTCAGCCCAGAGAGTAATTGTAGAATAAACCTCTGTGCAAAACTAAGATTCCATTAGATAATCTCTCTGTGCTAAAAACATCATAGCAAACTTGCAGAATTAATTTAAAAAAAATAAAAGAAGGGAAAAAGTCCTGCTTCTAATTCTAGCATCAGAGATTTAACGAAGTCTGGCCAACAGAAGACAGCTCAATGAAAATATTTAAATGGTGAAAATAAACATTGCCAGTATCCTTTCTGCTGTTGTTCTTTGCTGAGGAGGAGGAAGATAAATATTGGCACATGTTTGTTTTTCAACTCTCATGAAGTGGTTTCTGGCAGTCCCCACGGTGCAAGTCTCAAATGTTAGGTACAACCTGTAGTCTCACTGCAGGACCAAAGGATGAAGAAAGAACTAGAAATTGTTATTTTTGCCTTCAATCTTAATTTTTAGACGCACGCTTCTTTCCAGTGCTTATTCACCAGCTGAGAAAGATTTAGTTCAGCGTGAGGAGGTGAATTTAGTTTTACATGTGTCACCATTTTATCTATCTGCACTTTCATCACTGTTTCTCGCTGTAAAACATGGGCAGCTTCTCATCTCCACTCTTCCCCCCTCTCCAACTTCACTAAGTGCAAAAAAACCCCTAAGCTATTGCTTTTTGTTTCATTGTGTTGGATTTGACACGGTGTTCTCTGATTCTATTCTTTGTTCTATGATAGATGCATATTTTAGAGACACCACCCCTTTTCCAGACTACTATCTACACAAAAATCACCACACTGCCATGCAGGATACACAGATTAATGTAAATTTTGATCACACCATTTTAGGTATAAAAGAGGTTTCAATTCCAAATATATAGTGTTGCTGTTTGCAACAAACAAGTTGTTTTAAAAAATATCTTCCCCAATTAGCATGCTTGTAAGGAAGAGCTCACAGCAAAAGGGGAGCTGCACAGCAATTTCAGAAGAACAAAAAGCCATATTTTTTCCAATACTTTCTCAATTTCATATTACATATAATATATTACAATGTAATATTTCCTTCTCCAATCAGAAAAAGAAGTGTAGAATATACAGCATATCATTGTGGATTAGAGGCACACAAGTTTTTCTTGGCCAGCTAAAATAGGCAGAGGAATTTGCACCATGACTGCACTCAGAGAGCAAGACTAAAAGAGGAAGGGTATGATCCATTAATGGAGCAGTGGTCTGACATTCTAACTATTTTTAGCCTACTCTAAAAGCAGAGATAGAAATGGCTTCATTTCTGAGTTGCAGAACAATCACCTCTGGTGTTTAATTTCAATAAAGTTATCTATCTGCACAGAACTTTCCCTGGCCACTCCCACCTCCCCAAACCACACAACCCCAATAACTACAAGTAAAACAATGTATGATCTTTGTGATTTTTGATTGCTGAACTGAGCAGACAAAACTAGCTCTGGGATTACATGTGGTACTACTACAAACAGTGTTTCTGTTTAAAGTTTTAAGATTTTTCAGTCTAGAACTACATTAAAGCACAGGTAAAAAGGGAACACAGTCACCCTGTTAGTTTAACCAACAATTCTGAATTTGGAGTGTGAGATCCTTTGCATTAATAACAGTCCTGTAGCTCACAGGGACATATTTAAACACTAACATTGCAATGACTCAGCTCACCTGTATGTCAAACAGAATCAAGACATCCTTTATTTTAAAAGAAAGTAAATACTTCCTATACAATGTGGTACGTTACAATTCTCATTTCTAATTGAATGATACCATGCAAGCAATCTAAGAAGTCAAGAGTACACTTCTGCAAACTGCTTTGTAAGCACACTTTGTGGTGCCCTACTGGAAGTATGTGTGCTCATTCTATTTTATATTGATAAACAGTGACAGTAAATAAGGGATAAGGACACTGTAATTCCATACAAGCTCTGAAAGCCATCACATTCTGATACTTAGGACTTCATCATACACCCAGTACAAGCAACTTCTAAATACAAACATTACTTCTTCCTTGCTCAAGTCTTTTCCTCAGTATTTGCAGTATTTTTTCTACCAGGGCTTCAGAACAAAAATAGAAGGGCATTTAATAACAAACTATTTCATGTCAATCACAACAGCAGGAGGTACAGCTATTCTTGGAAATACAGTGTGCATCAAGAAGGGGCTCTGAATGGCTTTACTGTTACACACTGTGTATTGCATAAATCCACACCAAACCCTGCATACACTTTATTTTACAAACCAGTGCATCTGTGCATTTGTATATACACTTCTCCACTCCTTTCAGCTCCTACATTCAGACTTTAGGCACCTCTGTGCATGAAAAAGAAGCTTTGGAAATTACAGTGCTTCTGTTAAGAGTGAGTGAAGAGATGTGTCGGGGCTTTCAGAAACCCGTGCTCTGGTGAGACACAAGACAAAGCTTAAATGAATCACATTCAGTGTCAATGCAAACCACACATGCTATGGAGTCTTCAGGGGCTCTGAAATACACGTGAAGGCAGCTGTTCTCACCGGAGTTACCCCTCTAAAAACACCTCTTTATTGCAACAGCTCCAAACAGCGACACAGCTCTGCGCCGTCTCGACAGTCCCAAGAGTTCAAGACAGATACTTTCACCAGATGAGCAGGAATCCTGTCTCTCTCTAGCTTGGTGGCTGGGGGGTTGGGATCTCTAAAGCGCCTAAGACGTCCTTCTAAAGGGTTGAGAAACTTAAAAAAAATAAATACTGCAGCGCTCTCCATCCTAGGGCTTCAGCTTGCCCTCCTTCACTAATCGCTCGTTGAGCTGGCACAGCTGCCTCAGGAAGCCGTCGTTGGGGCCGATCTCCCGCTTCTGCCGCACGGTGCTCAGCGCGGTCTTGACGTCCATGTGGCGGCGGAGCATGAGGTAGGCGATGACCAGCGTGGGGGAGCGGCTGTAACCCTCGCGGCAGTGCACGAACACTTGCCCTGGGGGGGGGAGACAGGGCGGGGTTGGGGTTACAACGGAAGCAACGAGAAATGGTTGGGGTGTGAAGCGGAGTTTTTATCGGTCCTTTCGCAGCTGGCAAGTTCCAAATGGCACAGAGGGCACGTAGGACTTAGGGGGGAGGCGCTAACACTCTGTTAGTGGGGTCAAGGATGATGCAAAAGGAAGGGAAAGGTTGTATATCAAACAATCACACATTTGCTACTGTATTACAAGAGTCTAACCGTGTCTGTTTACTGCACTTTGTGGTTTTAGGATAAGCCTCGCCCCTAAAAGATGACCAGTACCAAAGAGCACAAATAACACAACAGCAGGTGAGTGAGAGGAGGGAAAATATGTTAATCTTAAAACTGGCTCCAGCAACAAAGTTCCTCTTTGTTCGCCACTGTAAGAACGCAGTGGCAGGCACGGTAGACAGCCACAAAGACTGAAAGAATCAGCAAACAGAACTGACACTGCAAATTCAGATTGACTCTGCAACTACTTAGAGCATACTGGGCAAGGAGAGTCATGGATGGCACTGTTAAACTCTTCTCTCCTCCTGCAGCCTGTTTCAGTCAGTCACAGCAACAACTGCAAGAGTCGCATTTCAAGTTTTAGAAGTTCTCCTACTCCACCAAACTGGATGTAAAATTTACTCCCATCTGCCAAAAATCCACATCACAGCTCCAGTACCCCTTTGCCCATTTCAGAGAAAGAACTTCTAGAATTGTTGGAGTACTCCTTTTTTCATGCTCAATCGTGAAGCAAGTGTAGAAATAACTGGTATGCTGACACAGTCAGACAATAACAAACACCATCTGCCCCACTGCACTATGTCCTGGGATTTCTGCTCTGAGGAAATACACTGTAGAGAAATGTGGCAATCAACAACAAATAAAATCTTCAGTTTTCCTGCAATACTACAAAATAAAGAGGCAATCAACACATAAAATAATGTCATGACTTAATGTAATAAAAACTGCAAGGTCACAGTCTCTATCCTTACTGTACATTTAGAAAAAGCTCACATAACAGCTTATGTGAATACTCTTCAGTAGTGCATTACTTGTATCACTTCTGCCCTTGAATTTTAAGATCTAGTGTCCTAAACCAACTTTTAGACACTGAACTTACTTTTTAAAATTATTTTTCATGTGAGGTAACACTTCTAAAGAAAAAATAAAATCATATCTTTCCAGAAAGGAAGCAGCAGCTGTTTCCCTTTTCAAAGTCACCCCTACAAAGACAGACTTCCCTTTGCCATATACTGGAGACCTACATGTATAAACAGAAGACTGAGTTGTCTTTTTCTATATTCTTGTATCTTTGATCCAGGGCCTTGATCTGAATCCTCGACATGGCTTGTCCCGCTGATAATCTGAGCAAAGAACCATTTTAAAACAGCAAATCGCTACGAAACGTAAGCAGTGCACAAAAAACACGGTAGAAAGGTATTTCAGTTGGCCTTACCATCCTTCTGGGAAAGTGCTTTCTCAATAAAATCAGCTGCCTCCTCAAAATAGCGACTGAGGTTAAACTCCTGTGTATCGTTAGCTTTAATGCCATGGTATCTGATGCCTGTGCCTTCATAGAACTCTGCATTAGTGTTCACATGCATGAATGATTTCCCCTCTGCTGCATTCAGAACATGGGTTATCCCCAGGCGCTGCAGCCTCATAATGTTCTTGGCTATGAACCTGCGTGACAGAAAGTGTCAAGAAAAGGATTAGAATGTGGTGAATCATCTCAGTATTTGTGATGTTCTCAGAAGGTGTTGATAACCCAGCCCTTTGATTTGTCTGTTAACAGATGTCAAATACATTGTGCCCAGAAGTGAACTTCTAATTAAAAATCACCAGAAATATTTAGAGCCATGGTCACTACTTGTGCATGAGAGGACAGGACTCTGCTTTCTTGGCTGACAGCTGAGGAGAGCACACGTGAAACTTAATCTGCTAGATCCTTCTGCAGCAGACAATTATAACTTTCTGAATATAAAATTCTCACCAAAGTGAGAAAATACTGGAGATGATAACACAAAGCCCAGCATACTAACTTCTAAGATTAACTATCATCCACATAAGATAATTTAAACCCCAGTTCTAAAAGGCCTCTATTCTCAGCTACCAGTGTTGCAGAACTTGGTAAGTTGCTACCCTGGCAGACACTCCAGACAAAATGACATGTTAGGGGGCAATTTTAAGCACTGTGAAATAGCTCTTCTCAGGCCACAGGAAGATAGAAAGTAACTAGGAGGAAGTGTTACTGCATGTTCAAAGCTCAGGGTAGTCCCCTGTCCCTGTGCTATTCAACACCTCTGCAGTCATGTAAAGATCTAGCAAGGCTATCCAAAGGCCTTGTAACTTGTATCCAAGTAACAGAGCGATGTCATTCAGTCTTTGACACTCAATGTTTTCATCACAAATATTACAAATGTTTAGTGTCTCAGTTGAACTCAATATCTGAATGTAAAAGAATCTAGATGAGTGATGTTTAAGATGCGTGGTTTTAGGTAAGCTAAGATCTTTCTAACTTCACAGTTTTTCCAAATAATTGCAGCAAAACCACCAGCTTCCATTTACAGGTGGCTAAAAGAGTGACCTCTCCTATTAGTGAACAATTGAGCAGAATGCTACACAATAATCATGCCTTTCAGGTTTGAGGATGACAATTAATTAGGTTCCAGTGCTAATGCCAAAAAGCATCTGCTCAGTAACACAGCTGATCATGCACAAATCTCTGCTTGTGCCCTGGAATGCAATCTATAGAAAGAGATATTAAATAATACAAGGAGACCACTGACTCCTTTTTGTCATAAACCCACTACTTTTCATTTTGAATCTGGTTATTTCCATGTGTCAGTCACAACATCTGCCTCACTTTCCTTGGAAGAAAAAAACCCAACACATATGTTTTATCACACTGTGTAGTCTCCTAGCAAAATCTAAGCCCACTGGTCAACATTAGTAGAATGTGACAGAAGGCTTTAGCTGAAAGATAACTCAGTTCCTACACACATAAATACCTTTGTTGTTTATAAAAGCAGCTTGCAATATGTGTCTGCTGGATGCAGAAACAGAAACACTTCAGAAAATCTCCCTACAGCTCAAGTCATAAATTGCAAATACAAGGAGTCTTAATATTAAGCTGAACTCCAGCTAAGCCTTTATGCAGTATTATTTTGGACAAGTTTCTCGGAGATGGCAATGCACCTAAGGCTTGTGGCTGGACATGCAGGTATTCTAAAATCTCAAAATAAATACCCAAATTAGTTGGTTTATAGCTACACGAATCTCTGAGTGCACTCACTCACAATTTTCATGCAAGTCAGGGCTACAAACATCTCGAGTGCTCCTTTGCTCCTGATGACTTTTCACCCTTTAAATTTTAGTGGAAGCAGATGAATCCTGATGGCACGAGTGAAGCCTCCACATTTTCTGCTGCCCGTGCCAAGCAACGACGGCAATGAGCCAAATATTTGTAAGACTTCATTACCCAAACAAATGTTGACAGATTTTCCATCTGGCAGGACATCATCTGTGCCATGGTACAAGTATCAGTGTCTGGGGAATTCTGCTTGCAACACAAAAATCCTACAGTGCAAGGCCAAACCAAAAAAAGTTAATTCATCTGGGGGTTTCTACACTTACTGGTGTGAGTACATGGTTTAAGTAGTATTATCTAGATCAGCATATTTCTGGTAATGATCAGGATCAATAGGAACTCCAATCCTGGAATCATGAAAGAATCTGGCAACAAAGATTGGCCCCCCCTGGAGGCAAACTCATTCCCAGTGAGTGATTTTTGCAGATTTTATAGATTGTTTTCTTACACAGCTAGAGGTGAAAAAGACTGTATTTGTATGCCATTTGTTTCTCCCTTTCCAAACAGTCCTTGGATCTCTCTCTCTCTCATCCTTAACATTTCATTCCAGCTGCATCATGTTCAATGTTGGGATGCTAGCAGAGAGATGCTAACATCAGCTTCATCTGGTTCCTGAAAAAAAACCACAGAATCTTGTCCATTCTCAACATGGAAGATTTAGAGTTCCTAATCCCATGAGCAACGCTACTGAGAGGTGTTTCTTTTGAACAGAGATGAAATTATTTTACCAGCCACAAAACACAAGTCTTGGAGAACTATTCATCAGCAATTAAAGGTGCATGAAGCTATAAACCAATGCCATGTGGGATTATAAGCAAATAGAGCAAGTCTTTAATGGCAAAAATGCCGGCATATTAACATATTTCATTTTCCACTGTTATGTTCATGCAAAATTGTTTCTTCACCAACGCTTCCCTTGCAGTCAATAAATTTAATATTAATTTTGGGAGAAGGCCTTCCGTACTCCTTACAACACAGCTGCAGGTCTAGCACATTAAGAACAAAAAACCAGGTTACCCACACACATTAAAGCAGACAGGAAAACTAAGATTGGGCATTCATAACCACAACATTTCTACCAAATAAAGTTCTGGAGCCATGGCTTGAATCGTCATAGGTTTCCAGTAGTCTGGGAAAAAAAAACCTTAGCCAATTCAGAAATGTAAGCCTCCTTGCTTGCAGGTAAAACACTGGCTCTGACAAGACATAGTTGCTCTGGAGAAAACCCTACTACTCTCCAGTGCATTGATTGCTTCTCCACCCCCCCGTCCCCTATTTTGGTGTCATCTGTATCATTCATTCAAAAATCAATTCTGTCCAGCTGTTCTGGTCGTGAACACAACTTACTAGCAGAAATAGGAATTATTAGGAGAAAAAAAAAAAACCAGATCTGACACAACTGACCGAGTGTGTTTCATTGCTGAATAACTTAATTAGTTTCAACCTTGTTTCAACTCTATTTTAGCGCAGGTTTGGGAATTCAACAGGGTACTGAACATTTAGATGCCGTTTATGAGCTGTCCTAACGTTTGCTGTGTCAGTCACCAGGAGGAGCCTCAGACAGCGCACAGGCTGCCCGGGCCTTACAGCCACAGGAGGACTGACTGAGGCTGCCTGGGCTGGGCAGCCCGGGCCAGGCCCGCGGAAGGCCCGCAGGCCCCGCGGAGAAGCCAACAGCTCCCACCCCGCCGGCTGGCACTGCCTCCGGCTCAACCCGCCCTCCAGGAGCCGCTCGGTGAACGCCCCGCACCCCCGAACCGGCCCGGCCCCGCCCGCAGGACCCGCCGCACGGGCCGCCCCGCACGGGCCCGTCCTCCGCCCGCGGCGGCCTCGCCCCCGCCGAGCCGCCCGCCCGGGCCCCGGCCCGGCGCACTCACGCGTTCCCCACGTGGATGCGCGGCACCACCTCGTTGCTGTGCGCGCTGGGGAGGCTGTAGCAGCCGCTGCCGTTGGCCAGCAGGTCGTTCAGCTCCTCCACCGAGATCTGGTAATCACCCATGGCCGAGCCGCCGCCTCCTCCGCCTCCTCCTCCTCCTGCTCCGCCGCCGCCAGCCGGAGGCCCCCTTGGCGCAGAGCGGCTCCCGCCCGGCCCGCGCCCGCCCCGCCCGGCTCCAGCCGCCGCCTCAGGGGCGGGGCCGCGTCCGCCGCTGCTGCCGCCGGGTGTGGGGCTTCGCGGGGAGAGCTCCGTGCCCTGAGGGCTCCTGGTGCTGCCGGTCCCGCCGAGCGCCCGACCCCAGCCTTGACCGGCCCCAACCCCGGCCCCGGTCCCATGCAGTGCTGGGGATGGACCCCGCAGGCCTCACCCTGAAGCTGCTGCTGGTCGGAGACAGCGCCGTGGGCAAGTCCAGGTGCTGCTGCTGTCCGCTGAGCCGGGCTGGGCTGAGCTGAGCCGGGCTGAGCTGAACTCACGGTTTCTTTTCCCCCCACCCGCAGCCTCCTGCGGAGATTCACGGACGGCGCGTTTGAGCCGAACCTGAAACCCACCATCGGTGAGTCCACACCCCGCCCGGCCCCGAGCCTGGGGGATGTTTCTCTTGGGGTCCCCTCGGCGAGAGGAAGGGTTGGGGAGCCGGGGTCGTGTGAACGCGGGAGGCGGCTGCGAAGGCGAGCACTGGACAGTTCCTTCTATAACCAGCCTTCTCTTCCGACGTCTTAGATGTTGATTTTAGAGTGAAGAAAATGGTGGTGGACGGCCACGCAGTGCAGCTTGCCATATGGGTAGGTCTTGTTCCAGGCGGATAGGGGTAGGTTTGTTCTCCACAGATGTGCAAAGCTTTCCTGTTTCTCTTTTTCTTACTCCTCTTACTTCCTACTCCTCCCTTCCTGAAGTCTTTGCGTGTTGAGATTGTGTATTGAGACTGTTGGAAACAGAGCACAAACGTGCTTTGAGCTGGTATTAACAGAAGTAATATACATGCCAAAACTTGAATTATTCTTTTGGGTTTTTACCCTAATAATCACACAGGGGTGTGTCTCCTTGCTGTGAAATCGAAAGCAAGGCCACAACTTGCACAAGCAGTCTTGTAGCATTCTGTGAGACCATCAGGAGAAACTAATTGCAGAGGGGGGAAGGGAGGGGGACGACAATGACACACCAGTCCAGTTGAACAATGTTAAATAAAAACTTTAATGCATGAACAGTGCATTGAAGTAAAAAAGAGGCTTCTGCTTTAGTGTCCATGTGTGCATAGATGCCTAAGAGTACAATCTCTTTAGCAGCAATAATTTGAATTAAGTAAATATATTGCCAACTTTAGGGGGTTTTTTTTATTAATAAACAAATAAATTACAATATAGGCGTTAGTCTATCAATTGTAAACTGTACCTAAAAGTAAATAAAATTTATTTCAAAAACTCATATTTGTGTGATTTTATTCCCCTTTATTGTTTGTTCTGAGGGTTTTTCGAGTTTCATATTGCACTTAGTAGCTCACTTATTCGAGAGAGTAAGCGTGACACAGTGCAGTAACAATTAAATGAAACTACTGATTTTAAATTTCTTATCTGCTCAGATTCACAGCAGTCTTGAAGTAGCTCTTTCTAACTGGATTCTTCCTCCCTGTGGTGTGGAGATGTTTGGAACCACTGTGTCTCCTTTCCTGCTGTGTCTCTCAGTCACTCCTCACCTCCTTCAGTTCAGCTGGTTTTTAACTGATCAAGCCTAGCTGCATGGCTGCTGGCCTTTTATGAATTTCTGTTATTGTCTCACTCATGTTACAGGTGTCTGCTTATTTTAACCTTCAATCAAACCCTCTCCATGCTTTTCTACTCCTCCTTAACCATTTTCTGTTGCTGCTGCTATTTCCTGACAGCTTTGCTCACTCTCACATCTTACATATCCTTCCTGGTCAGAAAAAAAATTAGCTCTTTTTTTGTAGTTTAAAATACTTTTTTTTTTGTTTTGTTCTAAATATATTTGATGTTGTGTGTTTGGTTTGTGTTTTTTTTCCACCCCCCCCTCTCCCCTCCACTGTAGGACACGGCAGGACAGGAGCGCTTTAGAACACTGACTCCCAGTTATTACCGAGGAGCTCAAGGGGTTGTTTTAGGTATGAAGTATGTGGAAGAAAAATAATGATTAACAAAAATTGGGTTTTATAACATTATAACATATTTTTTTAATTGTTTTTTACAACATTACTGCTCGTTAGCTCAAACACTGAGTACGCAAAGCCACTGGCACGAAGCAGCGCTGCTTCAAAATACTTTCAATTAAAAAAGCAGAGATGTCACACTGTAAGCTGTTTGAGGGGATGAATTATTAGCTTTGCAGTTATTACTTCAGTGATTTTCTGGTAATAGGGCAAATTGGGGTTTGTGTTCTGTAATCCTTACTGGCTTTGGGTGAGCACAGCAAGGGTGTTCCAGCTCTGGGAAGAGGATATGCTTGATGTCTCTTTCTGTAATTCCCCAATACCATTTTTTTTTTCAGGGCAAGTAGTTAGGTAGTGTGGACTAAGTGAAGTGAACATTGTTCAAGACTCTACTACAGCTGTTAAACATCTTTTCCTCTGTTACCAGTGTACGATGTTACAAGAAAAGACACTTTCACAGGACTAGAAGGCTGGCTGAAGGAGCTGGAAATATATACCTCCAAAAGCAACACTGTGAAGATGTTGGTTGGCAATAAAACTGATAAGGTCAGTTTAGGAATGCATCCTTTTACATTGTTCCCCAGGTTGCTTACTCATGATGGAGTATAAATGTGAGATGAAATGCAGTTAAGTGACACATATTGTGTGAGGAGGTGATATGCTCTGTGACTGAGTTGGGCAGGCTCCACTTATGACATCATTTTAGAAGCAGGTACTGTTGAAGATGTTAATGTGGCTCTGAGGTGCACTGGTTGCTGTTTGTTTCTGGGGTGTTTTGACATATTTAGGTGCCTATTGCATAGTGAGATGCTTCACTCTTGCTTTACAAGAGGTTTTCAGTGTGGCTATCGGTGAATTAGGTTCTCTTCTGCCCCCTTCCAAATCTGCCCAGTTTCAGAACCTTTGATACTCCTTTTTGGCTACTTGCCTACTGAAATCTCCTTTCTGGCACGTGTCGTGCTCCTGGTTGATTCAGAACATAGCAACACGTTCACTTCCTACTGATTTGACACATGCTGTGATTCTTGGAGCTGTCCTGTGCAGGGCCAGAAGTTGGACTTTGATGATCCTAGTGGGTCCCATCCAACCCAAGAGATTCTGATTTGATGTTCCTACAGTTCAGTTTGACCCTGTGTAAGCTGTCTGTAGAGTGGGAAAATCTAGTTGAATACTACATATTGCAGACATTCTTCTCAACAAAACCTCACTTCTGCAGTGGTGCTCTTCAAGGTACTTCCTCAAAGTGGCAAGTGTAGCTTATTTCAGCCATGTTTTTCATTTGTCTCTGCAGCCTGATCGTGAGGTAGAGAGAAAAGAAGGACTCCAGTTCGCAAGGAAACGCTCCTTGCTTTTTATAGGTATGCACCTCTGTGACAAAAGCTTGTCTTACGTTTTTTTTTGGTATTGCTAAGCATGAATGAAGTGTACAGTTGTATTTCAGACTGATTTGCCTTTTTTTTTTGTACCTATTTATGGGGGTTCCTTTTGCTGCATTAGTTCATGTGCATGGATGTGGGTTTTGACTTTTCGTACAGATGCTCTGCGTTGACTGCAAGTAGAAGCACTTTTCTCTGAAACAATTTACTGCATAGGCATGAATTTTATATTCCCTTGAAGCTAGCAGGATGCATTTCTGTTTACCCTAGTCAGCTTAAGTGTACCTTTAAGAGAGAATGGAGAGGAGATTGGCTCATTAAAAAAAAAAATAAATCACATCATCTCGCTGGTCCCAAAATAACTTTCTACAAAGTGGAATGTACTCCCTGCAAATAAGGTAAAATATTTTTTTCCCCTCCACCAGAGACCAGTGCCAAGACACAGGATGGAGTGCAACATGCCTTTGAGGAATTAGTCATAAAGATCCTGCAGACACCAAGTCTTTGGGATAAAAGCACAGAGAAGCGAGGAGTCCGGCTGGAATCTTCAGCACAGCAGCGTAAAAGTTTATGTGGTTCATACTGTCCACTTACTTAAATCTCCAGGTGGCTGTTCTGCCTGAATGCAGGGGACCTAAAAAAACCCAAAAAAACAGGGGGGAGGGGGTTTGGATTCCAAGCAGTACTCTGTTTTTAATTATTATAACCTAAGGTGCACCTTGTATGTAACGTGCCTTGCTTCTCTTAATGCACTATTAGGCTGGGTTTGATCATAAAACAAACATACAGCTTTATTTGCTGCTAGTCATCCAAAATATTTTAAGATGTTAAAGATAGCAACCTCGCTTTAAATAAATTCTGACCCTTAGTTTTCTTTAAATTAAATCTGTGTCTTCCGAACGTGTTTATGTCTTGCAGCCTATAAAAGCCTGCTTGTAACCTTGCACTACAGATCTAGGGTAAGATTAATCTGCTCATTTCGTAATTTCATAAAGTTGCTTAGTTTGAAACGCTGTTACTGAAATAGTTTTTAAAATATTACACTCAAGTTTTCCAGAGGCCCAAGGTACATCTGTCACAAAACTCACTTGGCAACGTGTCCTTCTTCTCTAAGAAGCTAAATTACTTTTGGTGGCTGTGCTGGAAAATGGGTTGAAGATGTGATGGGCCAACTGCCCACGTGAAGGAGTCCTTGTACATTTGCTGAGGTCACCAGTCTGGCAACACTGACAAGCTGGAGCAGAGACCTGACTGGGAAAAGTGCTTGTTCTTGTAGCAGTGGGAATGTAGATTGAGTGACACTGGTATGTAAGAAAGGTGCTTTTAATATGCATTGTTTAGTTCTGCTAAACGTCGTGGAACAAGAATAACATCACGCTGTCAAGATGCAAGGAACAAGACTGGTGCACCAAAAGGTCTTGCTTAAAGAGCACAGTACACAGGAAATATTAGAGCACAGCAGGCAAGCAAAAACAGGAACTAATTACAGCTAACATGCACCTGTACAGTACTCTCCCTCCACCCCCCCAAATAATTATAGAGCACAGGTATCCAGAATCATCTCTGCATGTTCTTATTAAGACCTATCTAACAATACTGTATATTCAAGTCTCCTGAAATATATACAAGGTCCTCTAACAGTAAAGATTTCTTGAGGCCAATTACATGCTCTGGAGGCCTTTACCAGATTTGGAGCAAAGGCAGTCATAAATGCTGCAAGGATGATGATTTCCACCTGTAGCTCAGCTACTTTGTACTTCAGCCTCTTCCTTTTAGGAATTGCTACATTGGTGTCGAGACCGTATCCCACTTCCAAAGATGTCTTGTAGAAAACAGGCTGCTTAAATGTTCTATTTTAGAACCATGTGCAGTTACTTTCACATAGACTAAAAAAAAGTGTCTGTTTTATCAGCTGGTTCATCATACAGGTGTAGTCATGGGTTGTTTAACATTTGTCCTGTGTCAGTAGAAGAGACTGGGAAAGAGGGCAGAAGCTGTGGATGAGCAGACTCCTCACCTGTGCAAGACAACCTGGAGTAGTGGGAAATGTGGGATGGACATAAAAAAACCTTCTATAACTGGCCTAGTTTTAGTGCCCAGTTGGAAAGCATTTAGAACTAATGATTGTGAGGGAAGGGAAATGCATTTTGCTGGCCTGACAGCCAGTTGAATTTTTGAGTGATTGACATGGTGAAACCCCTCTCCAAAGGACACCCCTCCCATGTAGCTGAAGTACCTTGTTCCCAAAAACCACCTCATTCTGATGTTTTAACTCCAGCCACAAAATTTGTGCCTAGAGTTGTGGCCGAAGGTCAAAAACTCCACCTGGTCCGTGTCTCAGCACTAAAATGCTTTGGAAGTGTGGAACCCTCTGTGAATGAAACTTCACTGTACAAAATACACTATTTACAGTCTAAAGATCAGCAAAAGATTGGACTGACCTATTCAGTCTGAGTATTCACTTTTAAATGACAGCTGCTATTCAAAATTTTGATTCAGGAAGGCAGTGTCAGCTTTTAACTTTGTTAATTTTTCCTCATGTATTGCCTTCTAGATAGACCCGCAGTTCTGAAGTGAATTTGACACATTTCCCTTTTCTAATTCACGCATTTACAAGACATTTTTATACAATCTTTCCCTTAAACAAGATAACAAGCTATGACCTGACCCAGCTGACTGGCACCCAAAATGAATCCTTGTTTAGTTTCTCTAACACAGTTTTCAGCTGATTACATGCACTCTGGAGATCTTCCTTCACCAGGACAGTGTCAATTAAATGGCCATACTGCTCTTCAATGAACGCTGCTGAGTTAATAATTTCCTGCTGTTCTTCATCCTGCTGATCAACACAAGATGATGGTATGAATTGTACAGCATGTCTTTTTAACTACTAGCATTTTAAAGCATATTAGCACACTAAGTCATTACTTTAAAAGAAATGAAACAAAAGCCACTGCCATTAGGAAAAGGTACATAAGATATTGCAACTGAAATTAAGGAGCAGCATGCCACTGGTAGCTGTTCCAAAAAATGCAAGAGGAGCTCTTGCATGTCATGGAAGTGCAAACCCAAATACTTCTTTCACGTCTAAAAGGATTAAAGGAATACTTACCAGGGGGGATGAGATTTCTTCTGACATGGGAGATTTTAGGGCATGTTTTTTCTTTTCTGTAATGAGAGGCTTCACAAAGATAACGTAAGGCTTAAACTCAGGAGTCCTCAAGTGCTTTACTGCCTGTGAACCAAGGAGAAAGGACGTGGCAAAAAACACTGGGGAAAGCAGGAAAAAAATGGGACTTCACGGGCAAGTTATGGTTTGCTTTGCTTAAGGGGCCAAACACTGGAAATTTTAAACCTGGAATTCATCTGAGGTAGTATTATTGTGCCAGGAAACACAAGTTGTGAGAGCATTATTGTTCTTTTGCTGGGTAAGAAGCCACAACTGGTGAACAACATCATTTACTCAGGCTGGTAGCATAGTAAGCAATATTTACATTCTTTAAAATAAGATGCAGAACTTACTTCAGGTACCACATCCACCAGACAAACCTTCTTTTTGGCCATCACAGACCGGATTGCCTCCAGACTTGTACCATATAAGTTTTCTTTGTATTCTCCATGTTCCACAAATCTGAAAAGTCAATACATTTTTAAAATACCATCTACGAAGAATATTTAACTTAGCACATTTGACAGCTGTTTCCTGAAGTCACAGTAGTTCAAAAGAGGAAGAGAAAGGCAGAAAATCATAGACATGTAGGAAAGGATTTCTTTTTCTCTTTTTTTTCTTCTTCCCATGTCACTAACAGCTAATCAGCACTACTGGCAAAATGGGGAAAAAGAAGAAAAGATATTTTTCACAGAAAATAGAATAAAGCTAGTAAGGAAATGGACTGCAATCCTTCCATCTTTTGGAAGACTCATCAAAAATCTGAGGAAACACAATCTCACAAGAAGTGAAACTTGTTACCTGTCAATGTACTGTCAAAGACTGAATCAAGAGCTTTTGGAACCCTTCCAGTACAGCTCGTCCAACCTGACATCAGATTTTGGTATTCACATCATGCCAGACCGAACGAGGGATATTTTAAAATAGTCAGCTATAGCAGTGTTTTAAAGTTGACTCACTTGTTTTGCTGCACATCTGTCTCAAATGATTGCTTAGAGACAAAATTGTATTCCACTCCCTCTTTCTCATGACTTTTCTTTGACCTGGTTGTATCTAGAAGAGAATGGAAGCAAGACATGGGAGATACATCAGCCTTTACAAACAATGTTTTCTCTGTTTAGTTCCAGTCACGTTTCCATGACTTCAAACAAGGTAGTTAAACAAATTCAAATTAACATAAAATGTAAATCAAACCATATAATTTTGTTTTAAACTCAGTCTCAAAAATTGTAAGACCAAAAGTGAAGTTGTTTTGCTGTAAGAGTGCTGTAACCAACACAAAAATTAGAAGCAATAGAGTATATCCTACAAAAAAACCAGTGTAACTTAATAACTGTTTGGAATAGTGGACTCTCCTTTTCTTTGAAACTTCAAAAATAAAACCATGAAATGCATAAAGTCCTATCATGTTGCCTCTGAATTTACAGTAAGAATATTGCTGGCTTTTCCTAAGCTACTGTGAAGCTTATATAATTACTTTTGATGTCATAATTTCTTTTAATTGAATTTTAATTAATCATTTTAACTCCTCCTAAAAAATGCATATAATCACTAGTCAGAACACAAACTATCACTCCTCAGTGCAGCTGGTACTACAATCATTAGACAGCATTTAAGGAATAAAGTGGCAACAAGTTAGTAAATTTTACTCACGTGGAACTGCAACACCGTACTCCTGTGGGTTCTCTGACACAACCTTCTGCTTGAGCTCACTTAATTTGGCCCCCAGGCAACCTAATAAAACAAAAGTGATTGATCCACTTCTGTGTGACAGGGAATACTGCAGAGAATAAATGTGTCACACAAGAAGATGATTCAGGAATGTGCTTGAAGAAACCTGTGCACGAGAGACCTCATGACCTGCTCCATCATATTCCACTCTGATGAACATCACCAGGAACAAACTGAATTCCTGGAACAGCTGTTGGACAAACATTTGGCAGACACTAAGTCAGAAAATCTGTAATCTTAGCATTCAAGTTCTATGGATACTCTTGATTTCTAGGAAATCCTGGGAAACTTGCTTACCTCAAAGCTGTAAGCCCACCGAGTTAAAGTGCAAAATCTTGTTAGGTAATTCTAAAATTTACCTCTTCATCAACTGTTCCAATAGGTTAAGTATACATGTTTGAGTGAGAATCGATGGAAAGTGAATCAGAAAAATGATAAATAGTCCTGCATCATTATTTTTAGGAGGATTTGGTGAGTTTGATTGCTTTTTTTCAGTCAGTCGGTCGGTTTGTTTGTTTTTTTAATGTAATTTAAAATAAAAGAGCAACTTCTGACCAAAACCTGAAAAACCTTTTAAAAAACCTACCAGGAACCACAAAAAACCCCAAACACCTAAAGAAAACCTCTGGCAGTGCAGGTGATAAGGGAAGAGGGAGAGAGGTGAAGAATTTTGAATGAGTTGTGCATCTTACCAATCAAGACCACCAGCCTCTGCTGTTCACCAGGCTGCTGCTGATACTTTGTGACTTCTTCATAGGTCAGGAACTCAGCTCCATCTGCCTGCTCTGCTTGCTTTCCTTCATTCAGGTTGTTCTCCTTCTCTTTACGACTCAATCTGAAGCTCCTGCGTAAACCAGCTGTGCAGAGAAACAGAAGATATTTTAAAACACATCTCCACTTACCCAGATTTTCAAGCTTGTTCAGCTACAAATTACTGTCTTGGAATGCAAGTTATTCCTACCAATTTTTTTTTTTTTTAATAATCAAATCAGTGCACATATGCTAATATTATAGATGTTATTATTGCAGATGATGTAGAAAACCAAGCACCCAATCTATAATAAAACCCCCCAGTTGCCAAGTTACGTCAAAGTCCAGCTCTGCCTCTTCACAGAGATATTCTAATTTATGAATGTATGGGAAATTAATATAAATAGGCCAGTTTTCACTTTTTAATGTGGAGGTGGGTTTATTTGGTGTGGGGTTTTGTTTTGTTTTTATTTCGGGGGGGTGGTGGTGTTTTTAGGGAAGGGGAAAGGGATTTTGGTTTCTCACCTATGTAGTGTCCATTGAAATACCCTTCACAGTCACAGTCTTCTGTAAATGAAAAAGCAAGGAGGTGGGGGGTAGGGCACAGAGGAATATGAATACTAGGAATATGGATCTCAAAAAGCATGAGTAATGTGAAAAAAATTACAGCATGCAGCACTGAACACAAAATACCTGACACTGGGAAAGGCAGCTGATACAGTGACATAAACTGCATGAGCCCACCACAGTTGCTCATAATGAAAATAACCCAGAAAACAGTCCAAATGAACAATGAAGACAAATAATTTCAGACTGATACAGGTGCCCTAGAATGTTGAACCCAAATATTTCTTCATTTTTTTAAACATACCAGATAGGAAGACTGTATTTAACTGGCAACTCATTCAAGCTCACTCAGAAACCTACAGGATGTGTATCAGAAGACACAAATCTTTTCTCTTGAATCAAGAGCAAATTTGGAAGGTATCATTACTCAAGTCAACAATCTGAATTAAATTAGTTTAAATAACAATTCATAAAGAAATTGTCCTAGGAACAATATATCTGCTATTCCCTTTGTGTAGCAAGTGTTTTAGAAAATGCTCTGGGTGTAGGAGAGGACCTACCTTTGTCAGAGGACTGATCATCTGTAGTTAGCATGAAAGGCAGAGTTGGAATGATATTAAAAGACAGACAAATAACTGAGCAAAATTAGAGAGAATGGACAGGAAGGTTCTTCTGGTCTGATTGCTTAACAGGATTTTTTTCTTAAAAAAAAACCAAACAACTGAAGTAATACCCCCTTATCAACTGATTAAAGATTTTTGGGCTGCAATTTAGTGTTACAAGCAGTTAACAGTTTAACTGTCTCAGGAACATCTGACTACAGGAAAAAAATGTGAGCACACCAGCAAATTTTAAAGCATCTAAACAATATGTGAGGCTTCATGTCCTTGAAAGCAGGAAGGGAGGGGACAGCTCTGTGTTTTGAAAACAACAGGATGGAGCTCAAACCCAAATCTTCCCAAGTGGCAGTTTGTATCCATACACATCAATTGATGGCAGGTTGTACACAAAGCATTAATCAATGGCAAAATACACTCAAAACACGTCATTATTGAAATCACAGAGAAATATGCTGAGAGCTAAGTATCAAAGCATTACTGAAAGCACAGAACAGACTTACACAGTGGTTTCTTCAGAGTTCTGGCATTCTGCAGAGTGCCTATTGTTCTTCTGTAGGTCAGTCGTCTGAAGAGGAAATAATTGTATTTTAGATGTGTAAGCTCAGCATTGCAGACAATTTACAGCATGTTATACACAAACACTGAAAATAAAGAACAAAACAGGGCTTTTCCATTAAAATTTAAAGTGTCTCTGATTCAACATTTTTGGTTTTTTGCAACAGACCAGTATTTATAACAGACTAAAGATGTACTGTAAACACAAGAACTGAGGGATATTTTTGCTTGAGAAGATACACATTATCTTGCTGTGAAAACAAGGAAGCTTCAAGGTCTAGAAGGTATCCCAGTCCAAGCTAAATACTCCCTTAGGAGCCAGAAGAGAGATCAGATACATTTCTGACTATTACTACATGCATAAATTCAAAATAGTTACAATAAATCAGCATTTTCCCTTAGACTGTGGATGTACAAGGCTGTGAAATACAGTCCCTCCATAAGCCAAGAGGGTTAAGAGACTGATATTCCCCATCTCATTTCATATGTTTGTTTAGCAAGTGCTTCTGTTCTCAGGCTACAAAATGTTAATCAACAGCAAACTTTCCAAAGCAAAAACTGGGAAGTTTATTCTATAATAGGAGAACAGAGCTTTTTAGTGCTTTTCTCTGTATTCATCCTGGCATGACCCTGCCCTTCATTTCCTGTGAAAAAAAAAAAGGTATAAAAATCAATGTGACAGTATAAATGTGTGAAAAAAATAAAAAATCTATAATCTTTGCTGACAAACCTTTCTTGGAACTGCTTTGAAGGGATCAGGCCCGCTCTGAGGTTGGTGTCCCCAACACGCTTGGCTTGCCACCACGTGGGGTCATCCTGGCTCACAACCTCCAGGACGTGTCGCCTCTTAAATGGCAGCCCAGCCTCCTGGCAGGGAATGGCTCTGTCTTCTTTGGGATTGTAGCAGAAAAGAGCCCTCATAAACACCTTTAAAAGAGGGGAACACGTCATTTCTTCTTGTCCTGTTTGGAATTTCAAGCTGCCTTTAGAAGGCTTTCCCCAGAGCTAACTGTATATACACTCAATCTCTCCTTCAAGCCCTCAAAAATATGGAAATGTTGCAAGCTGCATCTGTATTATGACTTAACCACTTTTGCAGGAAAATAAACTCACTTTCAAGCACATAAGCAGTCATTAGATGGTGGCATTGTGGAACAGGAGACTCAAAAGGTCAAAGCCTCAAGAAACACAGACCACAGTCTACGTCAAGTAGGAAATGCAACATTTCTCTGTTGCATGGGGGGAAAAAATAAGGGGAGAAAACAATAAAAATGGATTTATGGTCAAGCTGTCCCATATTGAAGACTGTCTCTAAAAAATGTTCCTTTAATACATCAAAATCTACTATTCACCTTTGGATTTGCATCTTAACACTATTGAAAACATCACAGTGGAACCACTTTAAAGAGTGATTTGTGGGCTTCCAGGAAAAATCTGGCAACCAGGAGCAGGGAAGCAGGAAGAGACTGACAGAGGAATCTTGTGAGGGACCAGTTGAACAGGGACTCCCTCCCAAGGAGGTGATCAAACTGATCAAGTGCTTCAGACAAAGCACTCAGAGATGTGTGTTGAAGTTTGCAGGGGGCTAATGGGGGCCACGTGATGAATGCAGCTCTGTTAGGAGACAGGTCTGGTTTGACTCAAGCCAGCGGCAAAATGCCCAGAGATCACAGACAGGCTGCAGCTGTGATGGGAAGAGAAGACCAGCAGCAACACCAATTTTAACTGTGTGAACAAAAAAGAAGACACTGGACTTCAGAAATGCTACGAGAGAACGTGTGCCAAGATGACGAAGAGGAGAAAACCCATCCAAGTAATTCTGTTCAATGAAAGAACAGAAACTGCACAGGAAACCTCTCTACTATCTTTGTGGTTCAATTCTGTGTCAGTGACGCTTCCCACTGACACAGCAGGAATGTTGCATTTACAGAGATGCCAGAATGTATAAATATGAAAATGTGTGCTTCAGCATTTCAGTATTTCAGTACCTTGCTGTCTTTCAGACGATCCTCTTCTTTGATGGCTGGAATTATTTTTAACGTTATTGACCCCTGAGACTGAGCCTGAAACACAGAGAAATGTTTTTTTACTTTGAAAGCAGGACAAGGTTACAATGCAGACTATTCAAGCTCCAGTTAAGGAGCTGGCAGCTGTCTTTTCATCTCAGAATGGTAACAGGCCAAGCTAATCCACTATTTTAACTTCATTACAGAGACAATCATGATGTTCCATGAATCTTCCACAACACTGTCTTGCCCATGGAGACATCCACAGTAACTACTTGGCTAGAACACATTAAGACCCTCTTTAAAATTCCTTCATTTGCTTTTAGCAACTGCATTAATTTCTGGACTAGAGTTCACAGGGTATTAAATACTCCTGTGGCTTTTAGTATGAGACTAACTTAAGCTTTTGCAGACTGAACATCAACAAAATAAACACCTACTTTCATTCTAGAAATCTTTGCTAGTAAACATCAACTACTAGTTATAGTAAATTAAAAAGCACTTCTAGATGTGTCAAATCTAGAATAAGTTTATCTGATCTATTTTAGATGCCTTATTTTGGATAAGATGAACTGTGTCCCAGAGAGGCCTGCTATTCTGCACAGATTAAAAAGGAAACACAGACAAACATTTGTAAACTGCTTATCTTCCAGGAATGTACTTATAATTTGCAATTTGCTTGTCATAAACAACAGCATTAAAGGGAGGTTCTTGACAGAACAACACGTTAACTTTGTATTTGTATCTTACTTGGTACCGATCCAGTTCGCAGAAGTTTCTGAAGTCAAAAGGAGAAGACTAATCCACTGGGAGAAGAAAAACTCTTAATGCAAAGACAAGCAGGGATTGCATCTTTTTAGCTCTATATTTTAAACTCATGGTTAAATTTGATCATCTATTGTAATTACTAGATCACCCAACAGAAAAGATCTTGAAACGAAAATCAGTGCAGACCAAAATCTGACTTATTTCTTCCGGTCGTTTGTGAAGCACAGTAATACCATTGACTTCTCTTAGCTCATCTCCAACGTGGACAAGACCTGAAAAGATGGTAAATAAATTAAAACAGGGCTACCACTCCTCTGATGTCCAGCCTAAGTCATTTGCATGTACCTTCTCCCTCATCCAGCCTGATAGATTTAATACTATTGCCTTTGTTGGCAAATGTGCCTCCAAGTCTCCTGCCTTTATTCCATGAAGAGACTCTACAAGTTTTAGATTTGCTCATCCAGTTCAGTAAGAAATGTTGTACTTGTCTTTATATATAGCTACTGTTAACCAACATAAAAGAATTTCTCAGTAAAGCACACAGAAAACAACACATAAATCTGAATGAACCAAGATACTAGATTAAAAGTAAAAAACATTCTTTCTTCTAAAGCTCAGACCTACTTCTTCTACCCTTGTTTGCATTTTTTCCTAGTGGCCATTTCAGAAAAAAACCCCATGTAATTAGATTAATAGATTACTGCTGAAATACAGAAATGCTAAGGGCACGCTGAGGAAAACTTCAGAAGTTTACAAATGCAACTTAAACCCCCCTTTTCTTCAGAAATTTACCACTGCTCATACCACTGCGATCAGCTGCACCACCTCTCATGATCCTTGCTACGACCACAGCTCCTGTGTGCTCGTCTCTCCTGATGGTGGCTCCCTGAAATAAAACACACCCCCCACCCAGGAGATCGTAAGAAATTTGATTACAGCACAGCAAGCAGTGTTCAAAACAGGATTTGTTACAACCAACCTTGTCTTCTAATCTTTATACAGCCAGCACTTTTACATATTAAAGCAACAAAAGCCAAGTAATTAGATTTTTTTTTTCCTTCTCTAACCTCCACTGGCAATATAAAGCTTTAATAATATAAAGCTTTAATCAGCTTTATCAGGAGCTAAGTCACTGCTCTCTTCTGCTACTGCCATATACAAAAAGCATATTTATTCCCCAACACAACTGTTTTTTTCTTAGGAAATCAATTAATCCATTTCCCTTTGCACCCTGACAACATAATGTTTACATACAGGTATCAAACATACTCTTACCATACCTCACTGACTTTAATGCAAACAAATATATTAAGTCACTGAATGTTAGCTACACCATGAAAACAATTAATACATATAATAAGCATAATCACTTCAACATATACAATTTCCTCAGTGTTCCCTGGGTTAACTGGTATTATAAACCCATGCCCATAAAGCACATCCCAATGCAAAATTGTGAAGGTGTATTTACCAAAGTTTTCTTTTTGTGTTACTTTACTGGCTTCAGAACACTCCTAGTTTTTGCTGGCTATTTGTGACAGCATCTTCAAGTGTCTCCTCTCTACTCACAATAACACTTTTGCACTACAGAGTTTTATGACTACAGAGTTTTATGGGTTATCTAATATGTACCAAGGGTTCTTTATTTTTCACTAGCCGAACAATTTTCACTGATTCCTCATCAAAATCATCATCAAAGTTGTCAGGTAGAGGTGGAAGGACTGGATCAAAGTTCTTCTGTGCTACAGTGTCGTGTACTACAAGCATTGCCTGCATAAAGGAAATAAAAAATAGTGATGTAACATCATAATATTACAGCTCACAATTCTCATTGTTCCCAATATTACAGCAAATTTCAATCTCCCCCTTTCTACCCTCACCACAAAACCTCCAAAAAAAGATTCAGCAGTTACATTAGCCATCATGTAAACTATCACTGGTAGATGTTGATATTTATAATAAATCCAGGCAACAACAATCCAGCCTAAAAAACACCTGAATGGACTATGAGAAGCAAAAAGTTTCCTTTTCTGTTCTGCTCCCTCAGAAAATATTAAGGAGGGGACAGAGGGAAGACAGCCTGATGGATTATGCAGGAAAGGCCAACACTGTATTCCCAATTCCCTTTGCATCCCAAAACCCGTGAAGGAAATCAGAGTGGAACAGAATTACTGTTTACAAGAGGGTTTTCCTTTCTCTTAGGGATGCTTCAATAAAACTTTTCTGCTACAAAATGTTCCATTGCAATTGTGCAAAGGAGTTTTGTTAAAAGTCCCCAGTGTGTTTTTTTTACCCTGAGATGTGGTGTTGACAACAGCTGAAGTAGCTCTTTTTCTTCATTATTCACTGGTGCAGTCTGCAACTCTTCTATTACCTTGAAAACAAAAATTTACAACCCCAAAATTAAAGGAGTCCACCAAATAAGATCCTGAATCTGCATTTCTGGTGAGTGTTTGCTAACATCTATCAGCCATCAGAGTGCACAGATCAAAACTGATCCCAATCAACAGCACACAAAAACTGCGAGAAATGGAACCTTCTTCATCTATTTTTACTTTTTTTAGATAGTGCAGGAAGACAGCATTAAAAGTCAGAATCCTAATCCCTAAACATACATTTTAAGAGTTATTCTGCCAATACAATTTCAGGAACAAGTTCTGAAATTTTAAATTCTGTACGGAATACATCAGTGATGTGTGAAACAACACTCCTGTGCTATGATAAAAGACTTTAAACTTTTATTTAATCACGTCATCTTACCCATGTGGAACATGCAACATAACTTCCCCTGTTCCCCTGCAAAACCTGGATACTAAAATATGCCCTGGAGCCTCAGGCCTTTCAAACAAATGATTAGAGAAATAATGGAGGCTTTTTTGCACTGGGCTGATTGGGTGTGACAAGAGAGAAAGCAGGAAGGGAATCAATCATGGCCAACAGATGAGAAAGACAGCTGGGGAAGATGAAAAATATGCACACATATAGGACAACTGCAAAACTTTGAGATATTAGAAAAGCAGGTTTAAATAACAGGAAAAGTAGGAGACAGGAATTTTTACTTACATCTTCAACTAGTCCTGCTGCACTGTGTAAAACAGGAGTTGGACTCTGCCTTTCGTAATGACGGAGTTTTTCATGGATCTGAAAAAGATTATTCGGAGATATTCCTACAGAGAGATTCAAAACTTCCTAAATATACCTACACTAGAATATTTTTCTATGTAAGGAATATAATTTTTCTGAGATGTGTCAGGAAAATAATCTCTCTTGGGGTTACTTTTTTTGTTTAGGAGTCTTTTAGTTTTCTTTTTACTCAGATAGCCCAGATAATCTCTTAAAACTTTAGCAGTGTAAGGAAAAAAAAATGCAGCCATCTCAGACTACTTTTTAGTTACAGGGCACTGTATCTTCATTTTAGCAATCAGAGCAGAGATGTTTTTTTCCTGAACAAAATATGTTAATTGTCAAATGTTCTTAATGTCTGTGCTTAAACACACATACTTTGGTTGGTATGGAATTCTTAAAAGAAAAAAAGCAGCTTTGGCAAAATAAATAGTTGATAAATCAAGGGAACAGAGAATAAGTAGAATAAGTAAACTGTAAGGAAAATGTACATACTTAAATGAACTTTTACCTTCATTAAGTAGCTGAGACTCCTTTCACTGAAGACATCCCTAAGGAATCCCATTTCCTCCTTGTGATTCGAATCAGGTCTTAGCTGAGACGTCAAAAGGGCCAGAGTTTCATGTAACCCTAAATTTCAGATTGAGGACAGAGCAAAACCATTGTACACAGCATTTCTCACGGGACCTTCCACTGCAGACTTAACAGCTACCACACTTACTTGGGCACCATCTTGCTGATCACCAGGTTTGCAGACACCTGTGTTTATCTACCCCTCATTTTGCAATGCTCCCTTTGTAAGTGGCAAACACAGCTCAAGATACAACAATTATCATTCAGTAGGTATGACTTCACCCCAGTCAGTAGCTGTTCTGTTGAAAACATGCAGATTAGTTACCTGAGTCTTCCGAAAGCATGGGCATGGCTTTGTTCTTAATCTCAAATGTTCAATTTAAATCCACAGGATTGTTTCTTCTTTCTGGACTGCGAGTCAGAGGCAGTCCTGAAATGAGCAAACATAACATCTAAGCTCAAGCATGTAAAAATAGTGAATTCCTGGTACATCTGTCCCTCAAGTGTTCAGTTTAACCTGAATCAAGCAGAGTCCCGCAGTTATTCTTCTACACAAGTAAAACAATGAAAACTACCAGGTTATATAATAACCACATGGTATCTCAGATCTCTGGAGCATCTCTCCAGAGAGGTAGTTTTCACAGGTCTGGAAAGACAGAAGATAATGGATGTTTAAAAGCACTGATAAACACCGTGTGCAGAAATGGAGCGAGCACGCAGGAAGATGCCACGTGACAAGATGTTCTGTGGCTCCCTAAAAGCACATCTCAAAGAAATGAACATCCCCCTGGAATTCTGATGAACACCATACTACAGTTCCATGCAGTTTGTTAAAGGTAGTAAGACTGTCACTCTATCAACCTTGCTCACAGGTACTAAGAATGTTTCAACAAGCAAGGCTACTCCCATTGCTCAGGAATTGCTTCAGATGCTTCTCAAATTATTAAGAGAACTTTAAATCTTAGCAACAGTGTTTGTTTAGTCAAACTTATTTAGCACCAAACCCCAAGAAAACCCAATTATTTTCCAGACTGTTAGTGAGAAAGCATCCCATACAGGAATACAGAAAATACACATTTTAGTGTCTCAAAAACCTGTCAGCAAACCCAGGAGATTCAGAATTAGTGGAGTTAGGCACAGCAGTGAAAATGGAGGCTTCCCCTAGAGGCATTTTCCATGCCCCGTAAAAATCCTGTTACACAGGACTGACTCTAAAGAATGAAAAGCATTCTGTATCCAGGTCAATACTCAGGGCTGGCTCTCCAATGTATTAAAAATCAGCCCTAGCATTTGATACTTTGCAAGAGTATGAATCTGTCCTCTCATCATTGCAGTATGAATAGGCTCAGATACACTTTTCTTCTTTAAAAATACCTACCCTAAATCATAATTCATTTTTCACACCTATCCTTGCCCAGCTGTTCCCAAGAGTAAACATCTGAGGCACCTTTATTACTTAGAAAATTGACCGTTGATATTTTGAAAGAGCTAAACAAACTGAACTGACGCTCTACATGGGGTCAAAGCAGGGGATTAAACAGAAGCATAATGTGATTTGGCATATCCCCATTACCTTGGAAAATAAACCTATTGTGGTTCACAGCTTAATACAACATAAAGCTTCTGTAATCCAGATGATTATCACTCAGAGCAGCAGATCTCATTTCAGAAAGCTGTTTAACATCCTTCCGGGAGAAGATCACCCTAGCGATAAGGTCAGACAACACACCTGTACGATAACAGGGCCCGAGCCCATAACCTACTACACAGGATTTCTCCTCGCGCCCAAATTTGAGCGAAGCAAGTCTCTCGCTGGGTGCTGTACCTACTCTAGCACTAGAAGAGCGACTACTCTAAAGGCTGACCGAACCCATGACCGGCACTCCGGACTCAGCGCGACCCGGGGACCCTGGCGGACACCTGCGGGGCGGAGCGCGGCGAGGCCGGACCGGCACCCCGGGCAGGGCTTTCCCGACCCGGAGAGCGCTTTATGTGCGCTCCACCGAGCCCGGGCACCGGTGACTGTACCGGCGGCACAGCCGGACCTCTTCACGGCTCAGCCGAGCACGGAGCGAAGTTACATCCCGGGACCGGACTTTCCGCACATCACCGGTCAGGCGTTCCCTTCCTGACCCGCTTCCCAGCCGTGCGGCCGCGCAGGGCGAGCACCCCCCCAGCTCCCACCTCCGCGGAGCCTCCGCCAGGTACGGCCCCGAGTCCCCCCCGCCGGGCAAACCCAGCGGTGCCGCGGGCTCCAGCCACGCCGGGGCCCGCACCTCGAAGGCGGCGCCGGGAACCCGGCCCGAGCCCGCCCGGCTGCCAAATGGTGTGGGCAGCGCCGCCGCCTCTGCAGGCGCTGCCACCGCGCCTCGGGAGCGGCGCTGCCGCCGGGCCGCCCTTACCTGCGGGCGCGGGGCTGGAGGATGCTCCGGGGCCTCCGAGCAGCTCCCCACACCCGCGTCCCCGTATCCCGGTGCGCACCTCGCTCATGCGCCCTCGGAGCCGTTCTCGGCACCGCCTCCCTCCCTCCCTCCCGCCCCCCAACCCACCCGTGGCCGGGAGGGCGGCTGGGCTGGAACCGGGGGATGCGAGCGGCCCTCCGCGGCTTCCTCCGGGCCCCACCGCCGCTCTGACCGCCGGAGCTCGCTGGGCTCGTCCAGCCGCCCTCGCCGCTGTGCTCCTCTCTCCCCGGTCCTTGGGGACCAGCTCGCCCCGCCCGGCTGCGCGGCGTGTGCCCCGTCACAGGTCGGCCGCGGCTGCTCTGCATCTCCCCCCGCGCTGCGGGCGAGCGGGCAGCGCTCGCTGGTGGCTCCCGACCCGCGCCCCCGGGTGCGCCCCGTGCCCTGGGGGACCCGGCGGCTGCTGCGCTCCGGCAGCGGGGTGCGGCCGCCCCTCCCGCCCCGCCGCGTCCTCGCCGTGCCCGCGGAGCACCTCGGCATCCCGCAGCATGTCGGCCGTGCGCAGGAAGTTCGGGGACGAGTACCAGGCCGTGGGCCCCGCTCGCAGCAGCGCCCGCAGGGAGCGGCAGCGCTTCGTGGACAAGAACGGGCGCTGCAACGTGCAGCACGGGAACCTGGGCGGCGAGAGCAGCCGCTACCTCTCCGACCTCTTCACCACGCTGGTGGACCTCAAGTGGCGCTGGAACCTGCTCATTTTCCTGCTGACCTACACGGTCGCCTGGCTGGTCATGGCCTCGATGTGGTGGGGCATCGCCTACCTGCGAGGTGACCTGCACCAGGCGCACGATGACACCTACAGCCCGTGCGTGGCCAACGTGTACAACTTCCCCTCCGCCTTCCTCTTCTTCATAGAGACCGAGGCCACCATCGGCTACGGGCACCGCTACATCACCGAGCGCTGCCCTGAGGGCATCGTGCTTTTCCTCTTCCAGTCGCTGCTGGGCTCCGTTGTCGATGCGTTCCTCATCGGCTGCATGTTCATCAAGATGTCCCAGCCCAAGAAGCGAGCCGAGACGCTCATGTTCAGCCGCGCCGCGGTCATCTCGCAGCGGGATGGCAGGCTCTGCCTCATGTTTCGCGTCGGCAACCTCCGCAACAGCCACATGGTGTCTGCCCAGATCCGCTGCAAGCTTATCAAGGTGAGGCCTGGCACGGCAGCGGGTGGCATAGGGCACCCGAATTGCAGTGGGCAAGGGTGTGGGCCAAGGGCAACGTTGTGGCCACAGTGCAGGTAGCGTGGGGCTTCTTCCCCTGTGCAGCCTCTGCTGCTGCTGGTGCTGCTGCTGCTGGGAGGCTCTGCCCTGCCCCTCGGTGTCTGAGTGAGAGGGGCAGTGTGAAGGACCATGGAAGAAGTTGCAGTGGCCGTAGGAGGAGCCGTGAAAGAGCCAAGCTGGCATAGGGAAAAACAGCCTCATCAGAGACCTCCCAGGGGCATTCCAGTGGATTGTGGGGCTGGCAGGAAGCCAGTTTGGTCAGGAGGGATGGATGGGTCAGGATGCAGGATAGCTACAGGAAGGCGTGCTCCTTAGCAGGTGATGGCTGGAAAGAAAGAATTGATTAAAGACAAATATCAGCCTTGACCTCCTTTTCCCCTTGGGAAACTTAGTGATCTTGAACTTGCAGAGCTTTATCTGGTGACCTCCTAGCATTTCAGAGGGATTGTACAGGTGCTTTAGTGGAAAGACCCTTTGATTGTCACCAATACCTATTTAATAATCACTGAGAAACGGTTAGCACAGTTCAGAATGCAAGAAAACTGAAATTCAAAGATCATAACAGAACAAGTAAATTATCAGGAGACAGTGGAATTTGGCAGGCACGAAGGTCTGGAGTTAAATCAGGCTGGAGCTGAGTGGAAGAAAAACACTGTACAGCATTGGTGAGATGGAGCAACACAGCAGCTGTGTCTTGTCATGGGAGCACGCTTGGGGAGGAGTGTCAGAAGCAGGATTAATGATTGCATTGATTTCAGAATATCGTATCTGGGTGTTATGAATGTTCATGTTTGTGATTTGAGCTCTGTCCCCTGCATTTCATGCAGTGCTGTTGGCAGCTGATCCTGCTACACTTCACCTGCACCTGATAAGATAGCTAGAATTTTGTTTTTCACGTGTGTCACAGTGAAGGAGTGTGAAGAGATGATTCCTCTCAAATACTAGTACTGAATATACTGTGGTACTGTTTGGCAGATGACCACATACCAGTTTAGCATTTTCCAGAGTCCTGAGTTTCTCTGCAAGGTACTACAATATTAACCTCGATGGCGCTGCATCTTTTGCATCCCACTCTTTTTTATATTTCAATGCTTAATTAGTCCACCTGGATATCAAAACATAATTATGTGAGTTCTTTAAAGAGTGAAGTGACAGAGGGTTAATAATAATAAAACTGCATCATGTCCAGTTAAAGGAGGACGTGCATAAACAATAGGGTTTAGAAAAGCAGTGGGAATGAATACAGGACAGGAGTGAAGATTTGAAGGACATAAGGTGTTTGTTCACTAAAACAGACTAAGTGATGATGCAGTGGAAGTCTGCCTGGTAATAAAAAACAAAACAGAGATCCAGTGGCAGAAAGTTAAAGACACAGAAGTCTTTTTTTTTTTTTTTTTTTTTTTTAGGTATGAAGCACTTAACCTTTGGAGAAATTCATCTAGACCTTTAGATTCTCTACCTCTGACCACATTTAAAATGCAAGCTGGGGCACTTCTAAGTAACTGTGCCCTTGTTCAAGCATGCATTGATCTGCGAGATTTACTTGGCTTTGTGTTATATGAGTCAAAATAAAGAATCATGAGTGCTTCTTCCAGACTTATTGCTGACAGTTTATAGTCCTCTGCCTTGTTTTGTGATCCTTTGAGTAAAGCTGTATATGTGCAACAAAGATCACTGGCTGGGAGCCTGACATATTGGGGCTATTAAGCTATCTTCATTCAGGTTAATTTCTTTTTATTTGACAAAGTTTCTTTAAAAAATTCTCCATGCCCTGCATAAATCAATCCTGTGTGTAAGATACTGAATACCTCAAACACAACCTTTTGCTTTCTCCCAGATCTGTTACCTCTAATCATCCTCGCTGGATTTGTTTGCTTTTGAATGGATTTGATCGAAGACTCTTCCACAAAGAAAAAAATGGTTTGTAGATCAAACAGTTCTTAAGTCAGTCAGGCAGCAATTTGTGCAAATACGCACATTTTTGTCCAGGTAAATGTATTTGATAAAAATCTGGGACAATTTGAGGTTTAGCTGTTGCTTCATACAGCTCAGGTCGAGCCTCGTTACCGTGGAGCAAAGATCATGGATAAGCCAACGAATTTGTGCACCCACTGAAGGAGCAGTAGCCAGGCAACAAAGCAGTGGCATAATAATCTGCAGCTTAGTTCAGATTGCAGATTGGCTCAGGAAAAAAGATGTTTTTGCAATAGTTTGGTTACACCTTTGCCTATAACGGAGAGTGTCACGATCGGTACGTGGTAGTGGCTTTGATCATTTTTATTCCACAGCATTGCCTTTTAGATTAGAAATCCCAAATAATTTGTGAGAATGCTTTTAGGAGAAATCAGCTGGTATTTTCTCTGTCTTCACCAGTAGTGGAGAAACTGACTCTCATCCCCTCGTGTAAGGGGGAACTTGGTTATTTAGATAGGAAGGGTTTTTTTTTCCTTAGCAGAAAAGCAAACACGTAGCACAGAAATGAAACAATGCATTGTATTTAATACTCCAGCAGCTTCCTAACTGATTATGTAATCACCAGCAGTTACAAGGTCAGCATTTTTAAGATGCATGTGAAGTGGAGGGACAATATGAAGATACCCTAGTTGCTTAGGGATTGTTTTTAAAGACTAGTAAAAGAATACTAATCAGATCTAAGCTGATGGCAGAACTGCTACCTCTGACTTGCTCTCAAGGAACGGTGTTTCCCAGCAGTGGAACCAATGCATCTGTCAATATGAATGCAACACAATTAAAATTATTTAGTAAATGCAGCATAGTCTGTCATTTATAATCAGTACTTGTCTTCTTAAAGAGTTAAGTGCTTTTTAATCAAATAACTGGAACTTTTGCCAGAAGATATTCCTGTTGAACATTTGTTGCAAGGCTTGTAGTGTGGTACGTGGCATTTTTGTTGAAGTATGTACATATATATATATAACTCATAGTAAAGTTTGTAGATGGTGATGAATTCTACGGCACAATAAGAAAAGTCAAAACTGGTCTTACGCAGTAACCTCATCATATTTAGCATTACTTATATTCCATTGTGAAGGCCCCAGACCTAATATATGTAGATGATAATGTCAGGTTTAAACTTTATTGCATTGCTTTCCTGTTTTGCCTCACATGGTGATTACTGAATCTTCTTTTTATCTTTAGTCCAGACAGACACCGGAGGGGGAATTTCTGCCGCTAGACCAGTGTGAACTGGATGTTGGATTTGGAACTGGAGCCGACCAGCTGTTTTTAGTTTCCCCTTTAACCATCTGTCATGAAATTAACTCAGAGAGCCCCTTCTTTTGTCTCTCACAAAGATCACTGCGAAGCGAGCAGTTTGAAATAGTTGTCATCCTGGAAGGAATCGTTGAGACCACGGGTAAGATTTAGAATAACACGCATATTCTTGATTTTTAGTCTTTCTTTTCAGTCCTGGTATTTTTAGCGAGGCAGCTGTTAGTCCTGGATGCTTCAGAATACCCTGCCATATGCTACAGAGCTTCAGTGACCTGGACCAGACAATAAGAGACCTCCCTCCCCCACAGGGCTCTGCATTAGCAATTCCCAAAGTGGCCAGTACGTCCAAGAAGAGGCACAACCTGCCCCTCTTTGACTGCATCTAGAACACTACAACACCCCTAATGTGGCTCCTGTTTTAAGGACCACCACCCTGAAAGAAGGTTGAACTTCAAAAGTTGCCAGTGCTGCAAAAGCTCTTCCAGCATAGCTTGCATTAAGTTGAATGCAGAGTAAGAAATCCAGTTTTACTCCATTTTATAATCTATAAAAGTGTTAGCTTACAGGCTACAATTGCTTTTTATCTGCCAGCCTTACCTTGTATTTTTTGCTGTAGATGCCAGTCTACTTGCTCACATTGGAATGCCATGCTTTTGCCTCTGTTTCCACAGGAATGACGTGCCAAGCCAGGACCTCATACACAGAGGATGAAGTTCTTTGGGGTCACAGGTTCCTCCCGGTGATGTCTCTAGAAAATGGGTTTTTCCGCGTCGATTATTCTCAGTTTCATGCTACGTTTGAAGTCCCCACTCCTCCTTACAGTGTTAAAGAGCAAGAAGAAAAGCTGTCCCTGTCATCTCCTTTGAATAGCCCCGTAGATAATAACAAAGCCAGAGGAGAACAGGTTTGTCCACTTGATTGCGTCGATATTGCGGGAGAGAAGGACAAACTCCCTTTCAAACTTCAGAAGATCAGCTCAGGAAAGGAAAGCCTTCCACAAAGAGCCCTGAGAATGAGTTCCAGTAACACAGGGAAGACTTTCAGTACCGGAGATCTCTTGAAAATTCAAGAAATAAGTCCCAGCTCTGCTGGTGAAGGCAGTGATGACAGGATGCAGTTGAAAGCCTTAAAAATAAGTGCTGAGGCTTTGACTCGGTCTACCAGCGATCTCGAGTTACAGAGGAGCTCTCCAAGCGTGGGTGCTCTGGAGATGAAGTTGGAAGATAATTTACCTGCCAAACTTTGAGCAATGAACTCTGATTGCCTCTCTTGAGAGCTGGAGAAACAGGAGTTGTCGCTGATGAACTGGGTTCGAGACTGCTGACCTGAAAGACTTGTTTGACAGTAAAGTCACGGTTTGGTTTTGCCACTTTCAGGAAGAATGATCCTTTTTACATAATCGTTCTGTACAGATCCAATTGAGGTAGCATAACAGGACTCTGAGGGGCAGTAAGATTAAACTGTCGTGCCAAAGAGATCCCTGCCCTAATGATGTCTTATCAGCATGCTCACTGCAAACCTACATTGTCTTCCATGGATGCAGATGCTTTTCCACGAAGCAAGGATCAGATCCTTAGTCACAGAGTGAAATGTTGGGAGATGAAGCCACAGGGGGTGTAACGCCAGCTGAAACGTGGTTTTGTGCAGCTCAGAGCTTGGACTGTTCCTGAAGTGTAAAAACAACAGAACACAGAAAAAATCTGTGATGCTGCTTGATCATAGTCCAGTTCTCTCTTAACTGACCCCATTGGAAAGTGGCCTTCCCGTGATTCCTGGAGACTGCATCCCTCCTTCCCAACGATCGTGGCCCACTCGTTCTGTGCTCCCGTTGTCTCACTCAGTGTCATTCAGGCAAAGGCAGAGGCAGCAGTTTGCAATAACCATTTGGGTCATTTGACTCCCGTGAACTCTCAGAAACATGTTCAGAACTGGACCTGAGCGTTTCGGTTCGGTGGATCACGTACTGAATTTTAACAACCATAGCGCCACTCACTGTGAAGGGAACTTGAGGTCAGTAGCTCTGCTTAATGGTGTGTCTCAGACTTCCAACTAAATGAGATTTTGGGTTGAAGACATTGTAATCAAACAGAAACAAAATGCTACATAATGCTCAGTCGTTACACATTCTCAAGAGTTTTGCTAGTGAATGGTAGTGTCGTGTTGCTAATTTTTGTTACATTTGCCCTCTCCATTTCTGTATGATCCTCAATGATTTTGTAGATTTGACATTTGTTACTATTCAGCTCAGCCTGTGAAAAAAGTGTGGGGTTTTTTTCCTGGTTGGTAATGGTTAAGCATAATCCAGACTTGCTGTTCTGTAAACTGCAGTGTTCAGCAGCGGGGTGTTTATCACCAGAGCACTAGCACAGCCCTCTCCAAGAGAAGGAACAAACTCTACTCTTGTTACAAGGACAGAATTCAGTCAAATTTAAAAGAGGTGGCAGTGGCCATTTTGATTGGCAATGCATTCCTCGAAGGCAAAGTGATATATCCAAGCTGGCAATGACTTGGCTTGCATAACTTGCTGTTTCTTGCTTTGATCTGTTCTGTGAAACTGGAAAATGGTATTTTATGCAGGGGTTAAGATTTGCTTCTTGTTGTTGTTGTTGTTGTTTGTTTGTTTTCAACGTGAATTTCAACATTATATATGTGCTGAAATCTGTATTTTCATTCATTAACTGTATTTGTATGGAATATTTAGATGACAACCCGAAGTCCTGAATGATGATGAATCTCCCTACTCTTCAGAACAGCCAGAGTTAGTATGAAATAAAATTACATCCACCTTGGCTCTCAAGCATTCTTTACTCCAACGTGCACGTTGACAACAAAGTCACCCACGTGCTCTGTGGGTCCAAAGCCAAGTTGTAAGCAGGAGATGGGGCACACCTCCCTCTGCTTTGAGGGGAGGAATTAGAGCAGTGAGCTGCTCACCAGGGCAGTTTTCACTCATTTTGTGCCGCCTTTGGGGGGCTTTCTTACGTGGGGGAAAGAGCTGTCGCTCGTTTGCAGGAGCCCTGCAGTGAAAATCCCAGTCTGCCCCCCCCCGCCCCAAATTGAACACGCGTGGGGGAAAAAGGTGGGTGTGGCCCTTTAAGAGGCGCGGCCGCGCTCCGTGCCCGCCGCCAGGCGGCGCCAAAGCCCCGCAGCGGGAAGCTCCGCCCCCCTTGCCCCGGGGTTTGGGGAGTGGGGGGAGAGGCCGCGGGTTCGAGTCCCGGCCCCGCCGCTTCCGCCTCCGGGGCCGAACCGGGAAGTTTGGAGTGGTGGGGGGGAAATGATCCCGCTGCTACCATGGTAACGGGGATATGGAGGTGGGTTTGGGGGTGCCCCGCGAGAGATTCGGGGTCTCTGCGGGGGGCCCCGGCGACTCCCGAGGCCCCACGGCGGAGGCCTCCGCCGTGGGGCCCTCGGGGTCGCCGGGGCCCCCCCGCGGGTTGAGGGATGGGGGGGCAAGTTTGGGTGCCCCCCACGAAAACTTTTAGGATCCTTATGGGAATCGAGGTCCCCGAGGTCTTTCCCCACCTCATCTTGTCGTGCCTCCCCCCCACAGTAATCCCATTTTCCCCTCTTTTTTCCCCCCACAGTCCTGCCGCTTCCAGAAGCTTTTTGGGACGGACGGGGAGCTGGAGGACGAGGTGAGGGAATCCCACCCCCACCCCCCCAAAGATGGGGTCACCGCATCTTGGCTGAGCTTGGGTGAATCCATTTATTTTTTGGGATCACACGGAGCTGTTTTTATTCCCCACAGGATTTCCTCTCTGCCGTGGAGGACGCAGAGAACCAGTTTGTGATCCCTGGATACTCCTCACCCAGCGACGCCCCAATTAACCCTCCCAATAAACCCCATCCCACTAAACCCCATCCCACTAAACCCCATCCCAGTAAACCCACCCTCCGGCCCCTCGCCGGGCAAGGGGAGCATCCCTCGGGATTCCAGGGACCCCCACCCAGGGGAGCAGCCCCCCAGGATGAGCTGGATAATGAACTTTTCCTGGCTGCCTGCAAGGAGCTGGAAGGGCCCGAGGTGCCGGCGGGGTCCGGCGCTGCTGCCCCGTTGCCCCCCGGGCACAGGGAGAATCCCACATGGATACGCCCAGGGAAGGAGAACACTCAGGAATGTGGGATCCCCAAAAAGCTGAGGGTGGGAGAGGAGCCGATCCCCACTTCCAGGGGGGTGCAGGACAGGCAGGACCCCCTCCCCAGTCCCAAAGTGGTGCTGAGGCCCAGCGCGGCCGGTTCCTGGACCCCCAGGCCCCCCATTTCCATGGGAAAGCCAGGAAGCTCCGCAGGGTCCCGGTCCATCCCTGCTCTGGGGGATCCATCCCTGAGGCCTTTCCAAGCACCCCTGGGAGGCAGCAGCTCCTCCTCGGTGCCCCAGACCCCTCCAGCACTGAGCTGCCCCCAACCCCAGCAGCCCCCCAGGCCCCCCTCCAGACCCCCTGGATCCACGGAGCCCCCGAGGCCGCCTCTCCGGACAGCTCCCGGATTCCCGAATCCCACCATGGTCCCCAACGCCCCCGGCCCCCCGAACCCCCCCGTGGTCACCAACCACCTGGTGCAGCTGGTGGCAGCGGCCAGCAAGGCCCCCGGGGGGTCCCCCCGAGTCCCCTCGTGCAGGGAGACACGGCGCTTCCCGGGGCCCGCCGGGATCCTGCCCCAGCAGGTGGGTGATGGGGATGGGGATGGGGACGGGATGGGAGTGGGGATAGGGATGGGGATGGGGATTGGATGGAATGGGGATAAAGGCGGGGATGGGAATGGGATGGGACTGGGGAAGGGATGGAATGGAGGTGGGTTGGGGATGGGAGTGGGGATGGGGATGGGAATGGAGATTGGATGGAATGGGGATAAAGGCAGGGATGGGAATGGGATGGGACTGGGGAAGGGATGGGATGGACGTGGGTTGGGGATGAGAATGGGATGGGGTAGGGATGAGAATGGGGATAGGGATGTCATGGGAACAGGGATAAGGATGGGATGGGGATGAGGACAGGATGGGAGTAGGGATAGGGATGGAGATGGGAGTGGAATGGGGATTGAATTGGGATGGGGTGAAGATAGGATGGGGACAAGAATGGGATGCAGATTGAATGATAGGGACAGCATGGGAACAGGGATAAGGATGGGATGGGGATGAGGATGGGAATAGGGTAGAGATGGGGACAGGAATAGGATGGGGACAGGAATGGAATGAGATGAGAATGGAATAAGGACAGGATGGGGATAGAATGGGAAGGTAATGGGAACGGCATAAGATGGGACAGGTTAGGATGGGGGCAGCTGATGAAGCGATGCAAATCCCTGGACACCTCCCTTTATCCCATAAGCACTCTGGGAAGCTGCTGGAGGAGATCCTGGTTTCTGCTCCCCAAACTCCAGCTCACGGGGCTGTGGCAAAGCCACGGACACAGGTAACACACCACACTTCCCCCCCAGCTCCAGCAGATCCAGGTGGGAATCCCATCAGCGCTGCTGTGGGCTCCCAAAGAGGGATACTGGAAGGGAAGGGGGTCCCTGTGGCTCCAGGGTGGTGACTGTGGTTATCCCATGACTCCAGGCACTGCCCAGCTCCCCGCTGGCCACGGAGGAGGATTTTGGGAAGGGGCCCTGGCTGGCCATGAAGACGGAGCTGGGGCTGGACGAGAGGAATCCCGGCTGCTTCCTCCACACCTACAGCGTGGTCATGGTGCTGCGGAAGGTGAGGGAGCCCAGATGAGGCCACTGGCGCTGGGATTCAGCTTCCAGCTCTTCCCTCACTCCTCAGAGCTGTTTCTGGGGCCGGGAATCAATGTGGGGAGGGGGCCGAGCTGGGCTGAGCACAGACATCCACGTCCCCACGGGCACGTCTGTGTGACGAGGGTCACAGAATCGTGGAATGTCCCACGCTGGAAAGGGACCCACAGGGATCATCGAGTCCAGCTCCTGGCCAGGACATCCCAGAATCCCCCTTTTTGCCATGCAGGCAGCCCTGAAGCAGCTCCCAAAAAACAAGGTGCCCAGCATGGCCGTGATGATCAAGAGCCTGAGCAGGACCAGCGCCGGCGCTGGCGCCGTGTTCCGGGATCCGACGGGTGAGTGGGGCTGGAGCTGTGCCCCGAGTGAGGCTCCTGCCCCTCACTCCTGGGGCTCAGGCATCCCATCCTCACCCACAGGGGAGATCCAGGGCACGCTGCACCGGCTGCTGCTGGAGGAGAGGCAGAGCGAGCTCCGGCCTGGCTCCGTGCTGCTCCTGAGGCAGGTAGGAGATGTGGATTACATCCCAGGGGAGTGGGATATGGGGACCTGCTGGGGTGGTGATACAGCATGTCAACTGTCCCATTCCCCCTCCCATAACCCCCTGGGATTGTGAATATAAATATTAGAATAAGAGGAAAAGGGAGTATTGGGATAAGGGTATAAGGGGAACTACCAGCCTGTTCATATGGTTTCCATTCCCTGTTTTGTGACACCTTGGAATTGTGAATATAAATGTTAGGATAAGGTGTGTCAATACATAGATCACCTTTCTCGTTCCCAATTCCATAATACCTTGGAATTGTGAATTTAAATATTAGGCTAAGGGGATAAAGGGTGTGTTAATAGGATACATCACCTTTGTCTTTCTTCTTTCATAACCTTGGATTTGTGCATGTAAACATTAGGATAAAGGAATATTGGGATAAGGGGATATGGGAAACTTACTAGTCTGTTCCCATTCCATAATATCCTGGAATTACAAGCACAAATATTGGGAAAGGGTCTCACACACTTCTACACCTCTGAATTTTTTCTCAAATATTCCCAAAATTTCACCCTGCACCTTAAAATTTTCATTTGAGCTTGTCGTAAACGGAAAAATGTAACTTTGGGGTGTTATCCAGGAACTCCTCCACAGGCAAGGAGCTGGAGCTGGCTCTGACCCCCTTCCCTTCCCTTCCCTTGTAGGTGGGGGTCTTCTCCCCCTCCCACCGCAACCACTACCTCAATGTCACCCCCAACAACCTGCTCAGGATCTTCCCACCGGAGCCCGAGGGCGGCTGCTCCCAGCGGCAGGTGAGGAGGGGACAGTGCTGGTGGCCCTGGGGGGATGCTGGGACCCCCCCCAAGGGTGGTCTGGGCTGTGGAGACCCTCGGGAGGAAGGATGGATAAATCCCCCCTGGGCTCCCAGTTAATTCATCCCTGCTGGGTTTTGCAGGTCCCTGCCCAGGCTGGGCTAATCCCAGACCCCCCTGTGCAGCCCCCTCAGGGTGTCCCTGTCCCTGGGGATTGGGGACAGCCGAGGACAAGTGGCCACAGCACAGAGGAGCATCCAGGGGTCTTTTCCCTGCACCCACCAAGCCCTGGGCCCAGGCAGGAAGAGCCAGTGGGAGCTGATGGATGTGACATGGGTGAGTCAGACCCGCTCCGGGAGGGGATGGAAAGCTCCATGTCCTGTGGAAAACCGGGGTGGGGTGGTGACTCCCCTCCTCTGGAATGGCAGAGGGAGGGTCTCAGAGAAGGGGTTGCCCAGAGAAGCTGTGGCTACCCCATCCCTGGAAGTGTCCAAGGCCAGGTTGGACGGGGCTTGGAGCAACCTGGGATAGTAGAAGGTGCCCCTGCCCATGGCAGGGGTGGGAGTAGCTGACATTTAAGGTCCCTTCCAGCCTAAACTATTCCTTGATCCTATGTCTCTATAATATGTCCAGCCTGGAGCAAAGGAAGCTCAGGGGGACCTTCTCCCTCTCCACAACTCCTTGACAGGAGGAGGGAGCAGAATGGGGTTGGGCTCTGCTCCCAGGGAACAAGAGGGAATGGCCTAAAGCTGCACCAGGGGAGGTTTAGGTTGGACATTGGGAAAACTCCTCCATGGAAAGGGCTGTCCAGCCCTGGCACAGCTGCCCAGGGCACTGGTGGAAGTCCCCAGCCCTGGAGAGATTTAAAAGCCATGTGGATGTGGCACCTGGGGACATGGGTTAGTGGTGGCCTTGAGGGAATGGCTGGACTCAGTGACCTTGGAGGGCGTTTCCAGCCTGAACAATTCCATGGTTTCCATACCCGTGTAAAACTCACGGATTTTCCCCCCTGCTGTGCCATGCAGATGACCTGGATGGGCTCCTGGGAGAGCTGCCTGAGGATTTCTTCTCAGCCCCAGCCCAGGCTGACTGTGGCTGACCCCGGGTGCTGCTGGCACTGGCTGGGCCGTGCCATGGCCTGGTGAGGATGATGATGCCAAGGAGCAGGTGCCACACCTGCCACCTCTGCATGCTCCTCTCTCTGTGTGTCTGCTGTGTTTGTTGTGGAGCCAAGAGCTGGGGGGGTTCCAGGGGGGTCCTGGGGGGACATGGCCTACAGTGCTGTCCCTGCTTATCCGGGCACAACTTCCCCTCTCACTCCCAAACCTGCATTAAAGGGCTGCTTTGTCCTTGCATCACCTGTGTCCTTGTGTGTCACCCTCCTTCTGGACCCCAAACCCATCCCCTGGGGGATCCTCGCTCTCCCTCTCCTCCCTGGGCAGAAGGGGCCGTTCCCCTCGGGGTCCCACAGCCCCTCAGGGTTGGGGAGTCCCCAAATCCCACCCCCATGGGACGTCCCCACCTCTCGCCCACCAACAGGTTAAACTCCCAGCACCCCGTGACTCTGTTTACCACCCAGGAGTTATTTATAGGGCTCCTGGCTCCGGGATTTGATTCCACATCCATGTGTGGGGCACAGCCCTATTTATAACCCCCCCCAAGGCGCAGGGGGCCGGTCGCTGCCCCCCAACTGCCCCCCAGCCCTCCAGGGGTGCCCATGGCCCACGAGACCTTCGCCTTCAGCTCCTCGGCGCTGCGCTCGCTGCGGCTCCAGCGCGAGCTGCTGGAGCGGGAGGAGCGGCGGAGAGCCTTGGCCCGGGAATGGGCCACGCGCCGGTTCCTGCCGGAGCCGCCCCGGGCCCCCCCGAGCCCCCCCCGGCGGCGCCAGCACTGCCGGGACCCCGCCGTGCACAACGCCCTGTACGCCGGGGACCTGCCGAGAGTCCAGAGCATCTTCAAGGACGAGGCCACGGCCAATTTGGTCCTGGAGATGGTCAGCGAGGAGCTGGTGTGGTCACCGGAGCAGGGTATGGGGCTGGGGGGGTCCTTCCCTTCTCCCTCCCTCCTTCTGTCCCTCTCCTTCTCCCTCCCTCTCTCCTTCTCCCTCCCTCTTTCTCCTTCTACCCTCCTCCTTCTCCCTCCATCCTTCCCCTTTTTCTCCCTTTTCCCCCCTTTTTCCCTCTTTTCTCCTCTTTTTTCCCTCTCTCTCCCTCCTTTTCCCTTTTCTCCCTTCTCTTCTCCTTTCTTCCCTTCCCTTTTCTCTTCCCTTCTCATCCCCCTTCAAATGAACAGGGGAAGCCAGGGCAAGGGGTGATGGATGGGGCTGCAGCTCCAGGTGGGCTGGGGAGAGCAGGGCTGGGCTGTGGAGAATGCTCTGGGAAAGGGGATACAATCCCAGGGTTTACCCCCCCCCACAGGGTTTTCTCTGGCTGGAGGTGGAGGTGGGGTGATGCTGGGGTTCACAACTGACCCCCTGAGCTATGGGTGGGTGGGGTGGGTTTTCAGGGCATCCCCCCAGGTTGCCCCACTGATTCTCCCCTCCATGCCCCCCAACAGGGCTGTGGGTGCTGAGCCCCCGCCAGCAGCAGACCTCGGCTCTGCGCATCGTCACCGCCCGGGGCTACGAGGACTGTGCCCGGCACTTGCTGCTGCGGGGGGCGGCGGTGGACGCTGTGGTGGGGGGCCGGGCCCCCCTGCACGACAGCGTGGCCGCCCCCCACCCCAACTGCACCCGCCTGCTCCTGGCCTTCGGCGCCGACCCCAACGTGCTGAGCGCCGAGGGCTCGGCCCCGCTGCACCTCTGCACTGCCCCCCAAAGCCTGCGGTACGGGCAGGGGGGGCTGGGGAATGGGGGCACCTGCCCAAATCACACCCACGGCCTCTAAACCCCCCAGAGCTCAGCCAAGATCCCTTATGCTGGTGGGGACCCCTGTTTGCAGCCCCCCAGTGCAGCATTTCTGTCCTGGAGGTGTCCCATGGGAGCCAGGGCTCTCCAGGGTGTCCTAGGGGTGTCCCTGGGGGTGTCCCACGGGAGCCAGGGCTCTCCAGGGTGTCCTAGGGGTGTCCCTGGGGGTGTCCCATGGGAGCCAGGGCTCTCTGAGGTGTCCTGGGCGTGTCTCTGGTGATGTCCCAGACGTGCCAGGCTTCTCCAGGGTGTCTCAGGGGTGTCCATAGGGAGGCCCTGGGGGTGTTCCAAGTGTGCCAGGGCTCTCCAGGGATTCCCAGGGGTGTCCCTGGGGGGCATCCCCACAGGTGCCACCTCTCCCCCTGAGGTTGTCCCCCCCCTACCCTTCCCCAGGTGCGCGGAGCTGCTGCTGGCACACGGCGCGCGGGTGAACCTGGGCACGCGTGACCGGCAGGTGACGGCCCTGCACGTGGCGGCGCGCCAGGGGCTGGTGGCCCACGTGGAGCTGTACCTGCACCACGGCGCCGACCCCTCCCACCGCACCCACCAGGGTGAGACCCCCCTGAACGCTGCGGCGGCCGCGGCCGAGCACCCCAAGGATGCCAAGCGGTACCTGCGCGTGGCCGAGCGGCTGCTGGAGGCCGGCGCCGAGCCGGGGGCCGCGGGGCGCAAGGGCCACGCGCCCCTGCACAACGCCTGTGCCAACGGGCACCCCGGGCTGGCCCGGCTGCTGCTTCGCCACAGCGCCAACGCCACCGTCCCCAACGGCGCCGGCGACACCCCCATGGACTGCGCCCTCCGCGCCGTCCACGAGTACCGGGACCAGCGCCCCGAGGAGACCCTCGCGCTCCTGCTCGACCACGGCGCCCGCCCCGGGCACCCCAAGGTGGGTGGTGGGGGGTCGTGGGGTGGCGGTGGCTGTGCCAGGCCCTCGGTGACACGGCTCTGCCGGCAGATGCTCAGGCTGTGCTGCCGGCACCCGCCGGCGCTGGAGGTGATGCTCAACGCCTACGACCGCGTGCCGCCCGCCGAGGGATGGGCAGCGGACGTGCCCCCCGAGCTGTGGGAGGTAAGGGGGTGCCCTGGGGTGTCCTTGGGTGTCCCCGCACCCCGGTCCCAGCTCGCTGACCCCCGTGTTCCCCCCCCTCCAACCAGGAGCACCGGGAGTTTTACACCTCAGCCGTGCGCATGGCGGGGCAGCCGCGGCGGCTGCAGCACCTGGCGCGCTGGGCCATCCGGAGCCACCTGGGCGCCCGCTGCCACAGCGCTGTCCCCAGGCTGGCACTGCCACCCGCCCTGCGCCGCTACCTCCAGCTGCACATCGAGGGGGTCATTTCTTGAGAGCAGCCCTTGCTTCCCCACTGGTGTCCCCTCCCTGTGACCCCACACCATGTGCTGGCGTTAATAAAAGGATGTGGCAGAGGTGGCCCTCGAGGCATCTCCGTTCTTGTGGGGAGCGGGTGGGCAATGGCTGCTGCTCTGAGGAGGGAGAGGGGACTCAGGGGGACAGAGGATTGGGGAGGACAGGGCCAGGGGGTCACAGGTCTCAAGGAGGCGACAGATAGGCCCTGGGGGATGTGGGGGCTGCAAAGGGGGGTGACAGGCTCTGGGGATGTGACAGCCAGGGCTGGCAGTGTCCAGACCAGGCCCCGGGGGCAGTTCCTGGCCCGGGGAGCGTTCAGGCCCTCGTGGGGAGGTTCACTCCGGGGGATCGGGATCACGCGTGGCTCCCGAGGCCCCGCCCCAAACCCCGTGCCCTCCTGACCACGCCCACAAAACATCGGGGTGATGCCCCACCCACTGGCCCCGCCCCCGGGAGGAGGGGAGGCCCGCTAGTCCCGCCCCCTTCCCCTCAAGCCACGCCCATTGGGCGTGGTCCTGAGGGCGGGGCCGTGACGCCACACGCGCGCGCGCTCCCGCCACCCGCCCGCTCCCGCCCCCTGGCGGCGGCGCCGTCTGACGTGGCGCTTCCGGCGCGCGGGCGGCGGCGGCGGGAGGCGGTGAGTGGGGAGGGGAGGGGGACACCGGGACCCCCCGGGATAAACCGGGACAAACCGGGACCCTCGGGCATGGCAGGGACACAGCGAGACCCCCGGGGTGGCAGGGACGCCCCAGAACACAACGGGACAAACCGGGACACCCCGGGACCCCCGGGGATGGTGGGGACGCACACCACGACCCCCGGGGATGGTGGGGCACACCGGGAAGAGCAGGGACCCCCCGGGGCTGGCAGGGACACAGCGGGACCCACCGGGCCCTCCCGGTTCCTCCCGGCCCGGGTCTGCCCCTGGGTCCGGGCCCCCCGCCCCTCTCACCGCATCGCTCCGCTCCGCCCAGGTCGGGGATGGGCTGACGCTGCCCCGGGCTGGGCACTGAGGGGCTGCGGGACCCCCCGGGACCCTCCGCCAGCCCCGGCGCCGCTCGGGAGCGAGAAGGAACAGCCCGCAGTGAGGAACTCCCGTCCCTCGGGATCTCCGGGCACCGGGAGCAGCGCGGGGATCTGTTGGAAGGTGACCGCGGAGGGGTCCCTGCTGGCATCCACACCGGGCACGGGGGGAGGTTGAGGAAGGAATAAAGACCCCAGGCTGAGCGGGGGGATCCCGGAGATGGAGCCCCCCGCCGCCCCCCTCATCCCGGGGGTGGGGGACGAGGTGACACTGGTGGCCGGGCTGGCGGTGCTGGCGCTGGCGCTGGTGCTGGCCTGGCTCTCCACGTACGTGGCCGATGGCACCAGCCAGGTCCTGGGCACGGGGGACGCCGCCGTCATCCGCCTCGGGCCCCTCCCGCCCTACGGGGGGCCGCGGGGGCGGCAGAAGCCCCGGAGCCCCCCGGGGTCCCCGAGAACGCGGAGGAGAAAACTGAGGAGGAAGGGGCAGGGGCGGCGGCGCAGGGGGACAGCGGGACCACCCCCGACCCTGGCCTGGAGCAGCTGCTGGGCGTCCGGAGCTTGTCCCAAGGGATGGCTGAGCCCCACGCCCCCGAGGAGGGGGATCTGTGCCCCGGACTCATCAAGATCCGCCTCAAGTTCCTCAACGACACCGAGGAGGTGGCGATGGCCCGGCCCGAGGACACCGTGGGGGTCCTCAAGAGGTGAGTCCCAAGGGACAGGGGGCATGGGGAGCTGTCCCAAGGCTGCCAGCCCACCCCCCCACAGCTCCTGTGCTCCCCCAGTACAAACAGCCCCCTCCCACCAGAACGAGAGAGGACATTTTATCCATCTTGTTCTTCCAAAAACACCAAGGAGGGGGGATTTAAACAAGTTTAAAAGAGGAGACGGAGCGTGGTGGCGGTGCCATCACTGTCCCCCTGTGCCATCCCCTCCCCGTTTCCACCAACCCTGGGTGTATCCACGAACCCCTTCTCTGTCACCTCCAAGCTCTGCCCTCCTCCCACAGCAAATACTTCCCGGGCCAGGAGAGCCAGATGAAGCTCATCTACCGTGGGCAGCTG